CATCCTATGTGTACAGGGGCCTTCACTAAGACTCTTGGTCTGCCCTGTGCTCATGCCCTTCAGCCTTTGCTAGGGCAAAATCAGCCCCTTCAACTACATCATTTCCATTCACATTGGTATCTCCAACGCTCAGGAATCCCCCAGCTTATCATTGAGCCTCACAAGCAATTTGATCATCTAGCAGCTAGTTCAATGCTGCCATCAACAAGCACACAGCGTGAGCCCTGTGTATTTGAACGCGTTGAGAAGGCAGCACAACCAAAGGCACTGCCGACGTGTTCGAGATGTCACGAGCAAGGCCATACAATGAGGTCTAAAGTATGCCCTTTACGTTACGAACATCTATTGCAAGCTCCCGCCCAAACCACTACGATAACACGTACAACAACACACACATCTGCTCGCTCTGTAACCCGCTCACTATCCCCATCATCTCCAGCAGGATCCTCTACAGTATATGAGACTGTGGCCTATACAACAACACACACAACGACACATATAACAACTCATATAGTGTCTCCTTCAGCAGCCGGACCAGCAACTGTCACAGCAGCAAATACAGTAACAGTGCCTGTATTACGAGTTGATGACCCCCGTGCTATCTTCCAACGATACAAAGAAGCACGAGAGGCCTGGTTTAATACGTTGCCCCGGGGAGCCTACAAGACCAATCAGCAATACCGGAAGGCTATGGGGCTGCCTGTACGTTATAGTAAAGCAGACTATGACTGGTGCCTCAATTACAAGCAAATGGGGAGTCATTGTAAGGCAGGAAATAGTAATAGAGAATGGACTAAGGAGGAGATGATGAGTTATCTTGATTGGGATAAGGCTGAGAATGAACGGGTTGAACAGAATGTAGGGATAGAGATGGCAGAGAATCCTTTCTCAGGGCGGCGAGGTATGCAAGATATATGGGATGCTGCTGAGAGAGATGTTGAATTGCAAGGAAGATGGTATCGAGATGGGAACCACCCCTAGTAACATTTGCAATAGTAATGGGAAATATGATTGTTATATATCATTAGAAAGAGAAAGAGAAGGCAAATCTCTGAGTATAGTTATGGTAATCCAATGGCTTGATTTAATAAAGTTGTGGTTGAGTTTACATACAGGGTTAAGTATGCTTTGCTGTCACTTACAAAATAACTAGAGATATAGCAATAACAATATGATATTGAACTATTCTATGATATCACTGTGTTCCCTGCCACATCCACGTAACATACCCATTTGGATCAACATTCCAAATATGAATCCCTGATCCCTCTATTGCCCGGAGATTTGATAAGTTAGAGGTCATCCCTACAGCAGCTGTTGGCCACACTGTGCCTGGGATTGTGATGTTCATATTGCGATATGAATTATCAAGAGTTTGAAATCGATTATGAGTCCATATACCATCCAGTACCCACCTACGGCTAACACCCACCTACTGCTAAGCAAAAATAAAATTCTCCCATACAAAATGCGTAATTTCACTTACACCGTATATAGCCAATATTGGAGTTATTTACATGAAACAAGCTGTGTATTATTGAGAGTTTCACGTTGTTTCATATCATGATTATACTTTTTCCGTTACGGAGGCGGTATGATTGCACATCACCTATGTAAAATTTCTGCAAATAGCTCATTCATGAGTTGGCCTCCGTAAAACTTAATAAAAGATTTTGCCTACACCAACCTTCAGCAATCGCCTCAAAATGCCTCGAACGTCTTATACAGAGAGTGAAGTCATTGAAGCCATATTCGATATCACAGATAACGGCCTGTCGCAGAACCGAGCCGCCCAGAAACATGGCATCCCTCAGACAATTCTTTCTGCACGATTACGAGGCCTCCCGTCTAAATTCGAAGTCACCCAGCCTGCCCAGTTGCTATCCAAGTCTCAGGAGGCCAGACTAGTCACCTGGATACTTCGACAAGAGGCCCTGGGCTATGCTCCTTCTCACAGTCAAGTTCGCGCTACCGTAACTGCCCTCTTACAGCAACAAGGCCAGCAAAGCGTCATCGGCGTGCATTGGATAGCCAGATTCATGAAACGTAATCCAGCCATCAAGACGAAGATAGGGAAACGCCAGGAGGCCTCAAGGTTCAATTCTTTCACTCCAATGGCCGTCAATTGGTACTTTGATATCCGCGAGAGGGAGTATGGCTGGATCAAGCCTGAGAACACAGTTAATGTTGACGAGGGCGGTATTATGGCTGTATTTGGTGCGTATTTATTATCTTTGATCATAAGACTTACTGATCCATTCCAATTCTAGGCTTGGACTCCTTGGTTATTGGCAGTAGCGACCCCAAGAAGAAGGCCTTCCTCAAAGGCTCTCAGTCCCGTGCTTGGACTAGCTTCATCGAAGCTGTGACTGCAGATGGCCGTCTTCTGAAACCGGGTATCATTTTTAAAGGCAAGGAACTTCAGCAGCAATGGTTTATCAAGGAGTTTAAGAATATAGCCGACTGGCATTACATCACTTCTGAGAACGGCTGGACGGATAACCACATCGCAATTGAGTGGCTCAAGGACGTCTATCTGCCTCAAACGCAGCCAGCAGATGAGTCCGATGCCAGGCTTATCATCTTGGATGGCCATGGGAGTCACGTATCTGTAAGTATGTCACTGGTCTGAACACAAATCTCGCTAAGTTGGAAGCAGGATGAGTGGATGGCTAGCTGTTTTTTAAACAACGTGTATTGTTGTTATCTGCCGTCTCATTGCTCCCATGGTCTCCAGCCACTAGACAATGGTATTTTCAATGCTTCCAAGGCTGCTTATCGCAGGGAGCTCCAAAAGCTGGCAACCCTGACCGATTCCGCACCAGTGGATAAGGTCAACTTCATCAAGGCTTATGCCAAAGCCAGGGAAGTGGGTATGACTAAGAAGAATATACTCGCTGGATGGAGAGTGACTGGAAATTGGCCAATCTCACGACGGAAAGCGCTTATGCATCCAGAAATCCAACCAGATAAGGAAACCACCCCTGAACCGAACGGTCTGAGAGACGTGCAACTCAACTCCGATGACACACCAAAGACCAGCCGTCACGTCAGAGATTTGGGTAAAGACAAGACCCCATCAACCAGAAGGCGGTATTCTGTGATATCTAAAGGGTTTGAAGTCCAGGAGTCAAAGATAGTCTCCCTGACGGCAAGAATAGCCAGTCTGGAGGAGGAAGTTGGCCGGTTGAGCAGAGGCAAGAAGAGAAGGGCTATACCCAATCCTAACAAGAAGTTCATGATACTAGCCGAAGCTCTAGCGGCTGGCGAAACTATTTCCGAGCCAATTCAGGTCACTGAAGTGTCGGAGACTATTGAGGATGTGATTGAGGTGGCAGGATTTGAAGAAGACGAAAGCTCGAATTCAGAGGTGGAAGACTTACCCGTTGTACGCACACGCACAGGCCGCGAGGTAAAAAGACCGAGACAATATGAAAATTAATTCAATTTCTAGTTGAATTGCAGAAACAATTTTATTTTTATCATTTTTGGTGATTTTGTCCCGTGAGGTTGAAAAATTGGATTTTGTATGGGGAAATTTTATTTTGCTTAGCAGTAGGTGGGTGTTAGCCGTAGGTGGGTACTGGATGGTAGGAGTTACATCTGGATAAATGCGATGTTGCCGTTGATCAAGAGCGTCATTAAGATACCCAATATGCCACTCTCCCCTGACCTGATATCCAAATGGCAGTACCTCTGTAATAACAGGCTCCCCTTGAGGAGGATATTGAGTAGCTTGAGCTCTTGCAAGTGCTTGGGGGTCTGCATAGAGCATAGTAGGGGAGGTTGGATCTGTTGGCAAGGTAGTAGCGGACCTCCAATACTCAACGGGGAATGGAGCTGTTGAGATATGAGGAAGGCGGGCTGGTAACTGCACTTGTTGATTATTGGCAATAGGCCGTAGAATAAACTGGTTGTTGTTATTTACTGGGAAAGGCCTTGCTGGTGTTGCTGTGTTATCCACAGCGATGGGGATGTCTGGAGGGTTCTGACGCTGGCTTTGGTTGCGGTTATACATCTTTACACTAATGTTTGATGTAGGAATAGAGAGCCGCTTCCAAGAGAAAGCCCTGCTTTATATATTGTACGTATTGAAGTGATTCATTTACATCGCGATGACTGTGATTGTAATGAGGCATTGTATGTTCTTCACAGCCTTGAGCAGACTGACATGTTGCCAATGGATGATATGTTGTACATTGAATAGCTGTATATACAACAAATCATCCTCTTCATTCAATTATATGTAAATACGGCTTCTGCAGATAGGAAAGAGATATCTCTCACACACACCGATGCCCCTTACTTACATAAGGAGTCTTACTTGCACGGCCGGCCGTGCAGGTATGTGTCCCCATACTTCAGAATAAGTAGTAAGCAGGTACTGCGGACCAGCTGCGGGCCCGCGCGATTCGTATCCGTCCAACCTGCTGTTTGAATGCTACGAAGTGGCAACGTGCTCCAGTGATGTTGTAGAACCTCGATCTACACAATACGGTCCAAGCTATTTAGTTCTTTCCAAGCAATCACTAGCGAACTATAAGGTATTGTAATCAACCTGATTTTCATTTGCTATGGTTGTAAGTCGAAATGGCCGCTGTGCCGGATGTAAACTCCCGGTACTTATCCAGCCTTCAAAGTGGCCTCAACCTCCAAATTTGACGGCGCTGTGGACGTGTATATGCCAGCGTCCCCTTCACAATAGCCTCAAATTTTCATTCAGAGACTCAAATTGCGATCCCCATTTGAGCAACTGGTATTTTTTTGCTCAAGGATTCTTCACACCAGGTGTCAACCGCCTATGTATGAGCACACAGCTTGGTAAGCCAGCAGCGGCTCAGCGCAGTGTTCCCGAGTCGGGTCAGCAGAGGACTAGCGTGGCGATCTCACGCTCAAGAGAGTCTAGTGATCACCATTCATCGTAGCAAAGGGCAACATTGTTATGTTTGTAAACATTAAAATCTCGTTCCCAATGTCAACTTGTTTCATTCTTTGCTTCTCTTGGCCCAAGGTCTCTCCTTAAACAGAATGGAACCCCTAGACATTCCCCCTGAGTATGTCTACTGCGTCAAAGCCGGGAAGAAACATCATGATCTCTTTACCACGATATACGCTGGCGAAAACTATTGTGGCCGTTGCGGTTTAGCCAACCCCTTTCAATCCCAAGGTCGGGCCAGGTCCAGAACTCCAGCCCTTCCGGGCCCCTATGATGAGGTGGTTGAGGTCGAAGACTCTCCGCCACAGCCAGCCAGTCCAGCAAGTCAGCTTATGCGTGACAGACCAAAACCAGTATCGTCTTCCGGTATTGGGTACGCGCAACTACTGCCCAACACGGTGCCTGTCTCCAATGGAGTGACTGCGAATACACGGGCACGCCTATATCCCTCTAAGCCGGCAAGCGATACTCCCTATCCGCAATTCATGGCGATCGCATCGGCGGCCAGTCAGGCCATTCAAAACACCAAAGGCAGCACCAGAAAGCCTAAGCGGCAGCGCACTGGCTACCAATGGGTCCACATCAGTCTCCTGCTCGTGAGCTTGGAGACCAGGTACTTCAATGGCCTTGCGATAGAGGTCCCAGAGACGGTGCTGCCTCTAAATGATACAGTGATCAAGTTTAGCGCGGCCGACCTCCTTACCTGGCCTTCATTCACTCAGGTCTTATTTGAGCACCTGCGTCCACTCCCAAGCACCATCGATCCAACGAACAAAGAGCTTTGGAATCTTTCTTACGCTTCGTCCTTTTCTGGCAAGAAAATCGTCACCGTTCCCAACACCGATAAGTACACGACGCCGTCAAGCATGCTCGCTTCTGGACACTTTTCGAACAACCAATCTGGGCAGGTAAAGATGCTCGTTGTCCTGACATCGACCGATGTGGTTGACAAGCAGGAGCCAATCACCCCGCTAAGGCCAGACGAGTACTTAACGCCTGTCAGGAAAGACAAAAAAAGGAAGGTTAAACAGGAGGACTTAAGCCCAGAGCTGAAGAAGCGTATCAAGCAAGAGAGGCAGATCAAGAAAGAGAAGGGTGTGAAGAATGGGAGACAAGTCAACCAGGAAAACGTAGTTCCAGCTTCCTCCTACTCGAACCCGGCGGTTGATGAGGGCAGCACAATCGTCGACAACATTGTTGTGAAGGTGGATGCAGCAGATCTGAGCGATCTGGAGGATCCCGTTGACGATCTAGTGTTCGACAGCGTCTCCGACGAGGAAGGGGATGAGCGTGAGGCAGACCAAGGCCACGAGATCGAACGTGGGAATGACGCAGGTTTTTTAACAGAGTTCGTAAGAATCCCGGCCAAATTTTCACCCAGAGAAATACTGACCTCAGCAGATAAACCTGCAGTCGGCAGTCACACCAGAATCTATCGAACAAGCTCCAACACAACAATTTGAGGATAATGCAGTCGAAGGAATCCCCCCGGCCCACTCAACACGTTTTAGGGGCACGAAGATCCCCATGACCTTTGCCTCTCGACCTAGAAAGAGGAGAGATTGACTATTCAAGCTACCCATCAGAGGTGCCAGCGTCCTCCTCGTCATCACTTATTCCCTCAATGTCATTTCCATTTTCGTCTTCAACGCCAAGTTCAACAAGCGGCTGTTCTGCTGGTTCCATATCTGCAAGCAACTCTTGATGGGCTTGATTTGCTCGTGCAAGTAGTGCTTCCTATACATAGTTAACTAGATACTTTAATGCGGAGATAGACATAGCATCTTACATATTCGGCAACTCCCCCGGTCGGTGCTCTACGGTAGGCTAGCGTAGGCCGTTGTCCACTCTCTATGTGCCGAATGATCCTGTCGCGAAGGGCAAGGTAGAAGCGCTTCAATGGGCGCAACTTGTCAGGCTCCTGGTGATCGCCGAGGACTACATTATGGTAATCCATTTCGTTAACGTCGCGGCACCATTCCTTTGTCTCTGGCTCAAGACATGTGCTGATGTCGATGCCAGCCAGTGGCTGTGCCAGCTCGCCTAGAACTGTACGGTCGATGGGGATTCCCCAATTGCAAGCCTTGCTTGGGTCAGGGTAATGGTAATTCATCCAAGGTTGGCCGTGCACAACATGAGGCCGGTTCTTCTGAAGGCGAATTTTGTGTAGATTCCACGCCTCCACGAAATCGAAGAGCTCTTGACGCAGCGCATCTTCGAAGACAGCGTAGATAGCAATCTGGTCCTCGAGCATATCGCCGTCAAAGTCCCCATCTCTGGCAAGCTCCCAAAAGTAGTCCACCCACTGCCGTGAAGAGACGTGAAGCATGCTCTCCCACCACTTCTCGATCTTGACGTTCTTCGTACTCGGTGCCGCCTTGTAGGAATCCTTCATCCGCTTGCCCTGCTGGAAGACTTGGCCATTCCATTCCACGCGCCCACCAGCAGCTAAGGCAAAGTTCCAATGGGCTGCTGCGACCAGTGGCGTTTCGCTACCCCGGTCTGCCTGCAAGTACCATGGGCGCAAGCCATAAGCGTCGCATGCAGCCAAATACTGCTTCAACACACTCAAGGCGGTGCTGGCTGAGTGGCCAAGGTAGAACCAGACAATATTGCGGGAGTATGCATCAATTGCGGCGTATATCTCGAAACCGTATGCCTTCAGCTTGTCATGGCCGTCAATGCACCACTGGTAGTTCGGCCCCGGGACGAGGAACTGCCCTTTCTTCCTTCGCATCATCCTTCGGCGCATCTCGACATCGTTTGGGAACATGACTTTGTACATTTCAAACAGGGGATCCCTGGGTACCCAAAGCTGCTGTTGTTGGCGTAGATATGACTGGAGAAACCTTCGACCGTATCCTGCAATGGCATTAGATCGTTGAGCCATCTCGACAATAACTTGCTCTGTCTTCTCCAACAAAGCAAGGCGTTCCTCGTCGCTGTTTATGCGACGTAGCCAGCGACGGTCCCGGTGGAGTCTGATACGTTTCAAACCTCTTTTAGTGATAGGCCAGCCTTGCCTCTGAGAACACTCAAGGTCTGCTTCTCGGTAAGGCCAACACGGAAGATAAGGTCGTGAATAGCTTCCATGAGCTCTGGAGTCTCAATAGTGCGTGATTGTTGACGCGGAAGTCCCCAGCTGGCCACCCGCCGCGAGATTGTGCTAAGGTTGACAGTGACATTGTAACGTTTCCGCAGCTTATATCTGATCTGGCTTCGCGAGACGCCATTGAGGTACAGCAAGCTGACATAGTCGCGAAATTGATCGATTGGGTTGAGTGGCCGAGCCATGACAATAGGTAGGGATGAGAACCAAGGCAAGGACGAGGTCGTGGTGTTTAATGCAAGGGGATTTGTGGCTGGAACCCCTATTTGAGCAACGCGATCGGCGCGGACCGTCGCGCTTTTGCTGCTGCCTCGCTGCGGACTAGATCAACTAATGGGATGGCGGACACCACTCATTAGGAATAGCTTGGACGCGGATCAATTCAAGAACGCCTCAAGTGGCCTATTGATAACGTGCATGATAAGCATGCCGGTCAAACAAGTATACCGGTCACTTACATTTTATACCTTAAATCGTAATTTTTAAAAATTTCTTAAAAATCAGAACTAAGCCTAAAATTGCTAAAACTTAGAATATAGGTTAATTATATAATATATTATATAAAAGCTTTTTATAAAATTTTGCTTATTTCTTTTTATAAAGTTATTAAGAAAAAACCTATTCGCACTGTGTATCTTTATATTTTTATATATAATAAGCTAATTAAAAATTTAAGAAAAATACTATACTGTTTTCTTTTTTTTTAAATATCTAAAAATGATTTTTTTATATTTTTAATAGTTATATATCCCGTTTTCAAAAATCTAATATTGTTACTTTTAGCTGTACAGTATAAGTGTCCGGCAAGCTTGTTTGACCGGCATGCTTATCACATACGTTAAATGAGTTTTCCGCTCTGTTCTCATTATCGTCACCAAGGAAACGAATTGGGCTCTTCTAACTGTCACCAAGGTGCTTTTAATGAGAAGCGTAGTGCAACATAACTGTGCGCCATCGACTTACATTAGTCATGGCAAACGTAGACGCTGTACGCGCGTCTGGTGGACTGCAGTCCAACAGCGACAAAATTGTCAACAATAAGGGAAGAGTCCAGTCCAGCACCCGCAAATCCGCGAGCAAGATCACCGTACGGTCCACCCGGCTGCTCTGCACAAGGTATCGTTACTGATTACATTTGTTTGGGTAAGAAGAGGGCACAAAAGAAGAAGGCCCCTCCGATCGGCTCGGCGCGTGACTTCCCCTGCCGCCCCTGTGTTACCCGCGCTACCAAGAACCCTGGGCATGAGTGTGCCTCTCAGGATAGTAAGTGGCTATTCTGTCGTAGAAGCTTTTCCAGGCTAACTTATACGGACAGATACTGGTGCTGCCTGCTGGGACTGCGCAAAGAACGGTCACACGTGTCGGCCAGTGAGTAAACAATACCGACTCTCTACGAATCAGATGCTAATCAGTTGCTATCAAAGGTCCCCGCTGGTGCCGTCTCTGCTGTGCGTGCCTTCTGGGAATTGAACCGGCTGATCGACGATGTAAATAAAGATCCCGACGATGCCTGGCACTCTGCAGCACAGCGCGCAGCACAGCAACTACGCGCTTGCGGTGCTGCTGACCGGGGTCCTGCAGCTGGTCTTAATGTCGCCAATATATTCATAGGCTCCAGCACCAACCCAGAATGTAGCTTGAACCCCAATAGCAATTGGGTCTTTGCGGCCCGTATTGGCAATGCTTTCTTGACGCCTAGCCATTGCGTCAAGCGTGGCATTTTCGATACCAGCGGGGAGTGAAGTCGAGCGATTGGTAGGAATAATCGTTGATGATAGTTTGCGGCGCTCGTTGGGGCGAGAAGTAGGGACGGCAGTAGGAATAGGGGCATCTTCATCGTCGTCCGTAAGATCAACACAATCAGTGATCGGTTTGAACTGTTGTCCACAATGGGGGCAGCAAACTGCACGGGGGTTCTTAGCTTGGAAGCTGGCATGCCTGCCTCCCCCAATAGAACAGAATGGAGTCAAAGTAGAAGGCATGATGGGCTTGTGTAAAAGAGACAGAAGGTTTACCTGTAGATAATAATGGGAGGAAGAGTGATTTCAGTTCAAGTTCAAGTATAAGAAGAAGAGCACTCTCTTATAGTAGAGATGAGAATGGTAGTTTGTATATATGAAGCCGGTACAGTATGGTTACATACAGAGATATATATTATCATAACAACTGGCAATTGTAGATCTGGGGTTGACTAGAGAACGGCAAATTGCGAATGGAATCATCCGAGCAATACTGCCGTAGTGCCACTGCCTCAGCTCTGGCACTTGGCTGCTTTGGGAGCAGCGTATGTGGCCAAGAGTGATATTTATCTAAGCAGGAATGGGCTCACACGCCAGGGTCGACCTAAGAGACAATTGGCAAGGGTCTGTGAGGCCAGGGGGGTTATGACCAGTTGATCCCTCCGGCCTTCCGTACACTTCTAGCAAGGAGCTACTTAACCGAACGCATCTTTCGGTTGCGAGTGGATCCCGACAAAGAAACCTTGGCGCTCTTTAATTGGCTAAAATAATCCGTCCTCTAAACTGGTTCTATGCATCAGAGTTACATGTTCGCTAGGTAAACATTAGTTAAATATTTCGCCTGTAACTTGATTTCTTGCTTCTGATATACTTTTACTGTGATACAGACCGGCCCTTTCTAGCGTAGTTCCAAGTTGGAACCACTTGCCAGCATAACCTAACGGCGGCTGGAAACCAAAGCGGCCTCAGTGCCAGATGAGACGCATACCTTTCTCTTGACTACAACGACATACATCCTTAAGCAGCCACTGACATGACCACCACTGACGAGATAGACGAGTTCGCCAACTGGGACAAGACAGGTGACGCTATCGGCAACGCCTTACACCAGGACAACACCTGGGCTGGCTTGGCAACTGGCCCTGACCACGACAGCATTGACGTTGTCGGGGTGCAGGCGGAGTTACCGAAGCTCGCCACCAGGCCCCGAGCCGTCGGGGGTTATGTTCTACCGGATGGGATGGATGCTCGTGCTCTCCGGCGTGCACTCGTCGCTCGACAGATGGTGCTCGCCGCAGTCGACTATGCGGAGGCCAGCGAGGACACGCTTGCCGTCGATGAACGCTTGGGGGTTATCCCACATGCTGGTCCGGTCGTGAGGAAGGCCGCAGGTCAGGCACTTCCAGGTGTCGCCGTTCGGGAACGTTGTGTCGTCTGCCTTGACCAAGATAAGCTGCGACCGCGAGTAGACGCTCGCGGGATGGGGTACGGCGGGTGCGCCGACGAAGTTGACCTCTCTGTAGAATCTCTGTAGAAGAAGAGTTAATAAGATAAACCTTCCCAGCACTTACATTGCCTAACCAAAATCTAGACATCCCAAACTCAAGTAAATCCCCTGTTCATTCTCTTAATCCATTATCTAATCAAAATTGTACAGAGCTCATACAGAGAATAGAAATGAAACATCTGCAGAAGTTATACTGTAAGGCGTTGTGTGAATTATAGGTCCGTGACAGTTAAATTTGAGACCCCCTAAAAGTAAGTGCGGCTTCCCCCACCAGTGCGATATCTTGTTATTTCGGTCAAATATCTGAGTGCCAAGGCTTGGTTCATATTCAGGTTATCTACACCCAAAACTGGTGCGTACCCCCAAAACGTTAATCCTCGTCATATATACCATGCATTACCCACCTGCGGCTAAGACCCCTCTACCGATAAGCAAAAATAAAATTTCCCCATACAAAATGCCCAACTTCACTTTCACGGTGCTTGGCCAAATTTGAAGTTATTTACATGAAACAAGCTGTGTCTTATTGAGAGTTTCATGCTGTTTCGTATTATCCTATTTCTTTTTACATTACATAAGCGGTTTTGTCGCATGGCACTAATGTAAAATTTCTATCAATGCCTCCTCCACGAACTGGCCTCCCCAAAGCTACATCGAATTTTTATCTCACCAGCCTTCTATAATCGCCTCGAAAATGCCTCGAACGTCTTATACAGAGGACGATGTTATTGAAGCCATACTGGATGTCACAGATAACGGCCTCTCCCAGGACCAAGCCGCCCAGAAGCATGGCATCCCTCAGACCACTCTTTCTCGCCGACTGAGAGGCATACCGTCTAAATCTGAAGTCACCCAGCCTGCCCAGTTGTTATCCAAGTCTCAAGAGGCCAGATTAGTCACCTGGATACTGAGACAAGAGGCCTTGGGCTATGCCCCTTCCCACAGTCAAGTTCGCGCTACCGTCGCTGCCCTCTTGAGACAACAAAGCCGGGAAAGGCCTATCGGTGTACACTGGATATCCAGGTTCATGAAACGCCATCCAGCTATCAAGACGAAGATAGGGAAACGTCAGGAGGCCTCAAGATTCAATTCTTTTACCCCAATGGCCGTCAATTGGTACTTCGATATCCGCGAGTCGGAGTACGGTTGGATCAAGCCTGAGAACACAGTTAATGTCGACGAGGGCGGTATCATGGCTGGATTTGGTGAGTATTTATCGTTATTTATCATAAACCTCACTAATCCATTGCGAATCTAGGGCTGGATTCCTTGGTTATCGGCAGTAGCGATCCCAAGAGGAAGGCCTTCCTCAAAGGCACTCAGTCCCGCGCTTGGACTAGCTTTATCGAAGCCGTGACTGCAGATGGCCGTCTTCTGAAACCAGGGATTATTTTCAAGGGCAAAGAACTTCAGCAGCAGTGGTTTATCGATGAGTTCAGGAAGATAGCCGACTGGTATTATATCACGTCCGACAACGGCTGGACGGACAACCATATCGCAGTTGAGTGGCTCAAAGGGGTCTACCTGCCTCAAACCCAGCCAGCAGATGTGTCTGATGCCAGACTCATAATATTAGATGGCCATGGAAGCCATGTATCTGTACGTGTCTCACTGCTCTGAGTCATTAACCTCACTAATTCAAACATAAGGATGAATGGATGACCACCTGCTTTTTGAGCAACGTATATTGTTGTTACCTGCCGGCTCATTGCTCTCATGGCCTACAACCGCTAGATAATGGCGTTTTTAATGCCTCCAAGGCTGCATATCGCAATGAACTCCAAAAACTGACAAGCCTGACTGATTCTGCGCCGGTGGATAAGGTGAACTTTATCAAGGCCTATGCCAAAGCCAGGGAAGTGGGTATGACTAAGAAAAATATCCTCTCAGGTTGGAGAGTGACTGGAAATTGGCCAATTTCACGACGGAAAGCCCTCATACATCCGGAGATTCAACCAGACAAGAAGGAAACGACGCCTGCATCAGAGGGCCTCAGCGACGAGCAACGCGACTCTGATAATACGCCAAAGACCAGCCGTCATATCAGAGATCTGGGAAAGAACAAGAGCCCTTCAACCAGAAGACGGTATTCTGTGATATCGAAAGGGTTTGAAGCCCAGGAGTCAAAGATAGCCTCCCTGAGCGCAAGAATCACCATTCTGGAGGAGGATGTCGGCCGGTTGAGCAGAGTCAAGAAGAGAAAGGCCATACCCAATCCCAACAAGAAGTTCATGCCATTAGCCGAGGCTCTAGTGGCTGGTGAAACTATTCACGAGCCAATCCAAGCAAATGAAGAAACAGGGGCTGTGGAGGATGTGATCGAGGTAGGAGGGATGGAGGATGATGAAAGTTCAAATTCGGAGGCGGAAGAGTTACCCGCCGTACGCACCCGCACAGGCCGTGAAGTTAAAAGACCGAGAAAATATTAAATTTTATTCAATTCTAAACTCAATTTCGTAAATAATTGTATTTTCATTATTTTTGGTGACTTTTTCCCATGAGGTTGAAAAAGTGCATTTTGTATGGGGAAATTTTATTTTTGCTTATTGGTAGAGGGGTCTTAGCCGCAGGTGGGTAATGCATGGTAGTTGACCGTGGCACTCGTCGAAATTCGATTCCCACATACATGTATCATACAGTCCGCGCATTGACACCCACAATAGAGACACTTCAAAGCAGAATGGCATCTCAATTTATCGTACGCTGGGGCATTATGGCCACAGGTTCCATCGCAGAAGGTCTGTCTTTCCTCAAATAGGCTACTGGAATTACACATTGACAGTTGTTCTTCAGCTTTCAGCCAAGATCTTTGTACCGACCCAACAACTCGGGACGTTTCCGACGTGAGCCATCGGGTCATGGCTGTGTCATCTTGGCGCCTTGAAAATGCCGCGGCCTTCGAACAAAACTGAACGTCAACTATGATGTAGCCATCTATGGACATTATTCCGACTTGTGGTTGACCAAGATGTTGATATCGTCGACGTCACTACCCCGCATTCCCACCACCTTCCAAAATGGCATCCTAGCACTACAAGCTAGGAAGCACGTTCTTTGCGAGAAGCCGTTTACAGTTACTGCCGAGCAAGCTGGCTGTCTTGTGAACCTCGCACGAAAGAAGAACGTGTTCGTCATTGAGGCTATGTGGGCTACGTTTATGCCTATTAGCAAGAAGATACGTGACCTTGTGTGTAGAGGAGAGGTAGGAAATGTATCACGAGTCTTGCAGATCTCTCCTTCAACAAAGTCAAGAGAGAGGCCGGGAATTTAAGCTTCCTAGCTTCGCACCGCATGGTAAATTTTAATTTAGCAGGCAGTACATTATTCCATATTGGTGCCTACCCCTTCACTTGGGTTTATCAGGTCTTATACCACTTGTAACTGGAGGTAGAGAAGGAACCACCCATTATTTCATCAGCTATGACCAAGTATCATACATCATACTAGGACAGACGAAAATGTCGCCATTATTTACCACTTTTCGCAGCACGGCACCCTTGGCATTGCTATAACTTCTCTCAGGGTGATTACAGACGTTGAGGAATTAGGCAACGCTTATAGCATTCGCATTCAGGGTTCTGAGGGCAAGATATCCGTCACTCACTCAGCATATCGGCCAACCAATTTTCTTGTGACAAGAAGAGGCGGTGGCAATCGTGTTGAAATAGTGGAATGCCCGGTCCCGAAGGATGATGCACGCGTCAATCGGAGACATAGCTTCTTCTGGGAAGCAGATGAGACGTCAAGGTGTGCTCGGGGCGGCAAGATGGAGAGTGAGCTCATGCCACTAAATGGGACTCTGATGATGATGGAAACGATGCAAAAAGCCCTGGGGCAAGGGGACGTGGTGTATGCGAAGGTGACGACGGATCACGAGCCAATCTTCCTTCCGGATTCATTGCTGCAAGGAGAACAACATCTGGCAGACACGGATTTCTCGTGTTGCTTTTTCCTTCGTCACATTACTAGGAGAATACACTGTATCCTAAACGTTAGACCGCCAACACGCTGAATCCCAGAGTGCGAAAGGAATCCGTCCAGTCGGTAGCACCTAGGCCCGTCTGCCGCATCTGGTCATCTGCTCTCCAAAGTTCCTGCACAATTTCCCATTGTCTTGTAATATTCCCAATATTATATCTCTCAAGTCTTTTCCACCATTTTATCAACAAGTCTCGCTGAGGCCCAATGGCTTCACATGACGCTATAAACCCTGGCCAAGTGATAGGGGCCATTACCGGCTCCTGCGAGATTTGCGCCTTTGCATCTTCAACTGCATGCATTTGTTCGGCCACGTACTGTACATTGTCCACAAGGTCTTCGGAGCTGAAACGCTGGATGCGTCGATAATAGTAGATGAGTGCCGCACGATGCCATGCATTGGCTTGTTGTGTAAAAATCCTCAGCATCAGGTCGTCATTTGGTGAGATTGACATTACGCTTTCAGATGAAAGTTTCCAGGCGAGTAATCTATCACCAAGTTCCTCGCACCTGTCAAGAGTATCGCTTGGTATAGAGTTCTGTAGTCGCCCGTTATACTGCGAGAGAAGACCTGCAAGGCGGCATGCTTCCTGGATTGCTGCTGCGATGGATGGGGTAATTCCATAGATGTGCTCATAGCAGTTGCTAGATTGAACTAGAATGTCATCTGAAGTTGAGCTTGTGTGCTCTGGCGATTGGGTGGGTTGGAAGGACGTAGTCTGAGCTAGAATGGCCAAGAACGCGCTGATTGCGTTGAGTTTTCGAGTAGAGTGGCTGATTACTTTCCACTGGCCCCGTAAGTTCCGCAACTGCGCGGTTGCATTTATATGCACGATGAAGTCATTACCGTCTCCTGACATGGTCTTGATACATGTTAGCCTGCATTGAGGGATTGTGCATAGAAGCGCTTACCCCAATGCTGAGCAAGGACAGCATCGCCGTCATGAAAACTTGATAATCTGTACCGGGAGTTGAAGCATTGACAGCGCCTTGTAAGAAACAAGTTGCTTGGTATCTATGCCTGATGCCAATTTGTTGATACTTGGTTTGTGTCTTGTTGCAGTTCCAGAGGTGGAATGCTGAAGATGCAAGCAGGGAGTGATAGATTGCTGAATAGGCTAGAGCTTTGGACGTGTTTGGATTTGACATGCATATAACCGATCCTTCAAGCGCCGTAGAAAGGTATATTCCACGAAACACGTTTTCTGCATGAGCTATTGGCTGCATGAGATCAGCAATGTGAGAGTTGTAGTGGTTAATCAAGAGGTCAGCTTGATAATCCCCAAATAGCCTTGTTGTGATGTTTCGAATTGAAAATTCGCAACTAGATGAAGCTAGGGATGCCGAGTACGTCGTGACTGAGTCGGCTGGTGAACCAACGTCGTACTGTGAGGTTGCGCTGCTTTGGTTTACTAGAGCTCTGAAGGATTCGCTGTTTTCTCTCACTCCTTCTTCTATCTCCCGAGGCTGGTCACTGTCTTTAATCAGAGATTAGTGGGTACTTATCACTGGCAATGACTCTAAGCATTCCTCACCTTCTGATAGACTTAACTTTGAGATGGTTCTCGAGGCCCACAAGTTGGGTGATTGTGTGCCCTCGTCGTCGTCGCGATTAGCTTCTCTAGGGGAAGCATATACACCACTTCTATTATCTCCAGACGGGAAATCAGTAACCGAGAAACAAGTGATGTATGATGGTGCGAGGGCATCAAGCCGTTGGCAACCGTGAATATTAGCTGGAAAGGCAGAAAACGGGCCTCTTGTGGACGAAACTCCGGTCTCAGTGTCATTATCGATGTCGGCCAGAAAGCCATCAATGTCTTCTATGCGGTGCCGATTACCGGAATCCTTGTCTCAGTGGGGTTTAGTTATACAGCCTCGGATAATCTACAGTAGTAGTCCTCTTACCTAACTTGATAGTTCTTCGCCCTCTTGCGGACGCGACAGGTGGAGCGAGCGGGTTTGATACCCATTGGAGTCGGACATCATAACCACCACAGGCAATGCCTTTCTTCTCACAATTTTCACAAGCTATCTCCCTCTCGTCACATCTTATCTTCCGAGCTTTGCACGTCCAGCAGCTGGGTTTTATCAGTATGGGAGACGGAAACGGCAGTGGGGTCGTGAATGGCTGAAGCATACCCTGTAAATGAATTTAGCCGGTTCATTGATGTAGTTCGAATGGTAATGTTTAGACTTCCATCGCTCTACTCAAGTGAGCGTGCGCGTATTCTCTACGACTCTTTACATCTGTCCACAATGAAGCCAGTCAATGAAAACTCAGATCCAGTGGCCGAAGGTGGTGAGGGGTCGCCAACCTTTAGTCTAATCCTAAGATCTAAGGCACCAATAGGTTTCCAAGACAAAATTCAAAACTCACACAGAGCTAATCCCAATCTGGAACTATTTACGACACCTCCATACAATTTTCTCGAATATCCAACTCATGCCCTACCATCATATACCGTGATACATGAGAAACTGAAAGAGTCGTTTTCATCATTTCATAGATCTCCAGGAATAGAGACCTTGCCTATTAATAAAGGTGTAAGGGAAAGGGAAACCTGCTTGGAAGTTCAACCCCATGGCTTGTGTAGCAGGTGTGATGACTGTCCGCAACGTGATTGTGGATTCAATTGGATGCAAAGGAATGACTCAATTATATCCAACGGTGATCGTATAAGAAAAGCCCGGGGTTTGTCCGGCCATGTGTCACCCCGACGAATGCCTCCCAAGCAATTACCATCAACAGTGAACCGACATCGAGGTCAAATTCGTGGTAGTCGTGGAGGAGTTGGGATCGGTTGTATAACAGGCTGGTGTTGCACCTTCTGTCCATCTGTATAGACTAAGATTGAGATAATTTCTTGGCTCCAATTTACTTGTCGGTCCGTGGGAGGACCTTTATGCACGAGGAAGCCTTGTGTGTCGAAGCTACGGAAATCAAACTACGTACCAGCTCGGAGCGCCAATCATAGTCACGGACAAAGGCCCTGGGGTCTACCAATCAAACTCATGAACCTTTCTCCGTCCTAGCCCGGTCCACTTGTCAATCAAGGAGTGTTTATCAGGCTTTGCTCCAAAGTGGACCCTCTCGGACTTGATTGCCTTCGCATCCACATATGGTTAGTGCCGTACTGTACTGGAACCCCACCTATATTATTAATATACTTTTAAAATATTACCTGGTTTCTACTAGTAAGTCGCTAGTCCGCGAAAGTGCGCACTCTCTCTTCAGGTCCGCCAACGCTTGGGAAAGTATCATCTCCACCCCCTCCATCTTGCCATGATCGATCCAATCGAGAGTGCATCATCTGTTGGGGATACTGCGTCAGACAGGATTCACAGGAACCATTCACAAGTACATTCGTCCCTCAGTTCTCCCATCTCGGCGCATCCTGTTGCATCTCAAGGTACCGATAATTGCCCTGCCATAACTTTAATGCTAATAAATTCTAGTAGTCATTACCCGTTGATCCATAGAGATGTACGTCTTGTTCCAGAACCTCGATCTCATCGCCGACTTCAACGTATAAGCCTGCTTTCCGTTCCTCAGCCTCGTTCAAACTCCGATCCTCGGGCACGCAATGCATGCCTATGTAGCCAAGCGCCATTCTATTTCCGGATTCGACCGTACGGTGCTCCACTAACGTTGTGCTTGGTTGTGGTCTACCTTTTTTCTTGTGTGGAGGCGGGATGTCTCTGTCAAATGTCCCCGTCCCCGGATCAACGTTAGGCATTGTACATCGAGACGTGCGGCACACAACAGACAACGTCGGCGCCACACTAGCTCGCAGTTCCGTACTAGCAATCTTTGGCAGGATGCGATATCGTTTCCAAGTCTCCTCTGCGTATGCAGGCGTCCCGGTGATCCATATATTTGCGCGGAAACGAAGTGCGTTGAGGGGCTGATTCTCCGGAGGAAGGACCGCCGATACTGCGTGGACCGAGGACAAGCTGTTAATATTGACAGGTTGCTGATCCGTGTAGCCGTGTACTGCCGGCGAACCAATGTAGTCCAGTGGTGCCAGATTCGTATCGGTACGGGTAAGAGAATCCGGCGTACATCGCAGCAGGGTGAGGTTTTGATTCTGTGAGATTCTGAGAAGCTTCTTGAGTTTCGGTAGCGCTGTTGCAACAGAAGGGATTTTCCCCATATCGAAGCCTTTTGCATCGCGGTTGTGGATGGTGAATGTCTTCAGCCCAATCTGAAATTCGAGCATTTGGGCGGGTGTAGGGTGGAGGGGTACGACAAAGGAAAGCTCTGGCGTCGCGTAGGGCCTCCACGTATGAAAAAGAGTTTCAAGCTGAGTGGTCCAGCTAGAATCATCCGGGTCTGGGAATTTCAGAACGACACACCCGCCTGCCTGAACGAGGGGGTCGTGTGGATTGCTCTTCATTTGCGGAAGCCATAACTCTGTCTGAATCTGGGACATCATTGGCTTGGTGCGCTGGCTGATGAATCGCCATCCCGTCCCCGCGTCTGTGTCGGTCTTGATGATTTCCGTTGCAAAAGCGAAACATCTGTCGTACATAAACCCGGACTTGGTGAGCAAGGCGCGATTCACCTCGATAGGCCCGCATGACTTGATGGGATGGATGTACATCGCCTTGATACGTATCGGTCCACCGGATGTGGTACCTTCTGGTATGTCGAATTTGGGATCATACTGGTCCGCCATGTTGCTGGCGGATACGCCGAGCCTTCGCAGGTGTCTCAGGTGCCTCGGTGCTATAAAGACACCTCCAGTGCTGATAACAACCGCTAAGGCAATGCATAGTGGAATAATTAGAGCTATGGCTCCGGAAATGATCGTGGAGGCCTTTAAAGTGGCTTGAAACCATTGCAGAAGGTGAAGAAGCATTCTTTCAGAAAGGGCGGGTGGGAGTTTGGGAGTTTCTAGATGAAAAAGTGCGGCGACGTGATGATTCTGGTTCAGGCTGTTGCTTCGGTTATTTACGATTCTAGATTCCCGAAGTGACCCGTTTGGGGCTCTGGGACTGACTCTTACACAATGAGCTAATCTTTGGGGAGTTTGGCGTCATGCATCTCTTGCCTCAGGACTTCCTCTTTGAGCCTCTCGTTCTCCCCTGTGACACAAGGAAAAAATGGGCACTGTCACGCCCTATTGTCGACGGGAGGGCGCGCCGAACCTCGACTAGTGCCTTAGAGCCGTCATGAGGGGTTGTCTCAAGCCACGAATCGGTCGGCTGGATCCATGGATCCAAGGGTATATAAAGACAAGACCCAGGGTAATTAGTATCCCATAGCCCCCCAATGACCCCACTATTACCTCGACGTGTGCCCTCATTCTTCTTGTCCCGTTTCAAAATGGTCCCCAACGCAGACGTTTCGCAGGGCTATCGTCCTGAAACCCTCGCGGTTCATGGTGATGATTGGCTGAATAAGGGTACCGACGTCGCCCCCGCACTTCATGTCTCGACAACCTACCGCTACGTCGGCAATCCAGACGAGCTTGTACCCGAGCATGAACTTCCAAAGCCTGAGTCAACCGACTTTCCTCCAGTTTACAGTCGAGAGTCTGCTCCCAACACGACCCGCCTGGAGGCGTTGCTATCAAGTCTTCTGCACGCTCATGCCGTCACGTACTCATCCGGCCTGGCCGCTTTTCACGCCATGATGGTGTATCTCAGACCCAACGTGGTTGCCATCGGCCAGGATAGCGTGGGTGGCTATCATGGTTGTCACGGAGTTTTGGCCTTGCACACCAAGATGCACGGGCTGAAGCTGGCCGACTTGCACAATGAGTCAACCTGGGACGAGCTTGGCCTGGGCAAGGGCGACGTGGTTCATCTTGAAACTCCGCTCAACCCATATGGAGACGCCTATAATATCAAGGCCTTCGCCGAGAAGGCCCACAAGCGGGGTGCGTATCTCACTGTCGATTCCACCTTTGGACCTCCAGGCTTGCAAGATCCCCTGGCTCTCGGTGCCGATGTGGTGATGCATAGCGGTACCAAGTATCTCGGTGGTCACAGCGACATGCTCTGCGGCGTGCTGGCCGTTTCAAAGGAGCGAGAAAGCTGGTTCTGGGAGCTTCTACATGAGCGCAGCTGTCTTGGCAGCGTCATGGGGAACATGGAAAGTTGGTTGGGCTTGCGCAGTCTGCGTACGCTTCAACTGCGTGTGCAAGCCCAGAGCCGCAATGCCGAGCGTTTGGTCAACTGGCTGCATCACAGCCTGACATCCGGTGCAACGGGCACTGATCCTGCCGGACGTGCTGTTGCTCAGGTTGTGGATAAAGTTGTCCACGCCAGCTTGCAGACGGGAGATATTGAAGAGGGCTGGCTACGCAACCAGATGCCGAATGGCTTCGGTCCTGTGTTTGCATTATGGATGAAGACGGAACAGGACGCTCGCCAGCTGCCAAGCAAGCTCCGCCTATTCCACCACGCCACTAGCCTTGGAGGTGTTGAAAGCTTGATAGAGTGGCGGCGGATGAGCGATGAGAGAATCGATGCCACATTGCTGCGTTTCTCCATCGGCGTTGAAAACTGGGAAGATCTGCGGGATGATTTGGCAACGGCATTCCTCGCCTTGACAGAAAGTTAAATAGAGTCATGGGACCCCAGGAGCTCTGATGCTGGAAGCCTAGATGATGCTAATGCAGGGTACCCTGTGTTTTTCAGTTTGTACCCGGATGCCAGAACCCGCGCTTCTAAAGAAGAAAGGGACGGATCCCCGAAACGTTAAGGTAATCGGTCAGTCAATCACTTCTAGGTTCTTTGGCGACTGGACATCCCGTCCTGGGGCAGAATGCCCGACGAAATGGACTCGGTGAATGTGGGCTATCCTGACGCGTGGATCTCGGCGACGCGTCCTGGCGCACAAAGACTCTCGCCACCATAGCCCAAGCGAACCTCAATGCTGTGAGGGAACGATCATGTGACTTTCATACTTTATAAATAGTCTCACTTTATGAATATTGTGTAAATAGCTTAAGTCAGAGCTTTCCTTAGGAATCTCTTTCTCTCCTTACGAACCATCATTTTGCCCAAGTCGCACTTGATCTCGTTCGTGCTCTTGTCCCGTCATAAATGCGTCCGATTCCAGTGCAAGTGTGATAGAAAGACCGGATCCCAGTAGCCTTTGGGTTAAGATGGCGAAGCTTGGTCATCTGCTCATCTAACAGGGAATTCAACAGCCAAGATGTCTATCAAGGCCTTCTTACGGCAGGTAGCAAATACTTGTTAAAGCACTACTAGGGTTGCACATGGTCCCAGCCGCCTTTGCCCCCATTGTCTCGACATTGTTCGAGGCTAAGCAAACTTGTCTGGTTTGTCTTGGTGCAGGATCGGGGTGCTGGAGGCCGGGTCTTGCGAGCAGCGCTCTCAACAAGACAGCCTAACCAAGACAAGACGAGCCAAGCCAAGTCAAGCCAAGTCAAGTTGAGCATCTTATCAATCAAGACGGCTTTTTTATGATACGATATGATATGATGTTCCATTACGCCCGTGATTAGAGGGGCAGCAACGTAAGAATCGCTAGCCTATTCTAGAATCGTCCAATACTCGGTTCCGAGCCCTAATAATCTATCTCGATACAAGTGCCTGAATTTCTCTTATATCCTTGAATCCGTCTCTTGCTATTTGACCCGTCCTTTTCCAATTCTGGAGCCTGCCTGATGACATACAGGCCACTCTCCTCCGCCGCCATTGACGAAGAGTACACTTGCCTAAAGACGTTCGGTGTAGCTAACCTACCAGCTGCGGGCAACCACAGGTATAGGTAGAGGGTCGGTGCTGAAAAGAAAAGGTTAAGACAGAGGATATCTTGTTAGTAGGTTGACGGTCGTAACTTGGCCAGTTCTCGGCGATACACCGGGCACCCTGGGTCCGTAGCTTTGTGTGCTCCTTTTCCATTACACGCTGCGCATTTGAAAACGTCCGAGGTGCAGGCGGACGCGAAGTGGCCCGGTTGGGCACACTGTCCACAGGTCGGAACCGGCGCTTTGCAACGATAGTGTAAGTGTCCGTAGAGGTGGCATCGGTAACACCTGGCTGGCTGAAGTCCCTGGACGAAAGGTCGGGTGAATGCACACTCGCCATTCGCCATCTCGACCGTCTGCTTCGCAAGCAATCTGTTCGCCTCCTCTTTCTTGTCCACATACACCACCATCGAGCGGTACTCCTTATCCACGGACGCTGTTCCAAGCCATCGCATCTTGTGTACTTTAACGCCGTTCATCTGCCCAAAAACGGCACATCCGAGCTCATCTGTCGCCACCGCACGATACGCCCTATCAACCCGGAATGGGTACCATTGTTCTCCGTAAAACGTTGCCTTGTCGAAGTGTGTCCTGATCCAGGAGTCGTTCTGTCGTACCTTATTCTACACCCCGTGATATGCCTTGTAAACTAAGCTGTCGGGTCAGTCAAAATTACCCTTTTGAGTTTCGCGGTCAGCGCACTAGCCTATTTGGGTTTTCACGGTCGCAGCTTCAGCCAACCAGAATTTAGCGGCCATCACACTAGCCTTTTCGAATTTCGCGGTCACGATACTAGCCTAATCAGGATTTCGCGGTCAGCTCAGGGGCAAGCTCAATTCATGAAAGTTGCTAGAACTTGAACACGGCTTGTCTCAACCATCATCTCACTACGTCTTGCCCACTATGCCCGAAACACCCAAAAGGCGTGGACGGCCCCGAAAGTACGGTACGCAAGAGGAGAAAGCGAGGCAAGATGCCATCGCCAAACGCGCTCGACGCGCTCGAAGACGGCTTCGGAACTCTCCAGCGCACAGAGATATCCGATTTCAAGTTTACGTCGCCCAACCGACAGGTGCTTTGCCGCCCTCATCCTCGCAGCAAAATCGCTCCCAGTCAACAAACTGCCTCGATGTCCTTGCAGATGCCGCTAGCTTGTCAGACCGACTCAGCACATCTCTCCCTTCGACCTCGAACCGCATCACAAGCAACATAAGCAACACCATTGTGACCCGAAACGAATTGTGTTCACAATCAACAGACAGGGCTATGCTCGCATCGCCGTATCCGCAGGATTTCTGCAATACGGCAAAGCCACGCGGGGCGATCAACACGTGCTCAAATTCGCTAGAATCGTCAGGAGCAGCGGTGCTGCCCTCGTACGAAGTGGCACCGTATGGTGGCAATGACCACTCTATCGGAAACAATGACACATACGAGACTTCGGATTCTCAGTTGCATTATGATATTGTGTCAGATTCTTCAGAGAGAGAAAGCGCCATGCTCTCCTTGCCGGAGAGGATAAGCGCCCCTCCCAGTCTAGATGCACACGGATTAGCCGAAAACGTCCCGAGTGGAATACGGGAGGATGAGAACACAAGCTATCAAGAAGAAGGTGGTGGCGATGGATTAATGTCTGACCTCGAGTCCCAGTCAGCCAATGTTTTTGAAGCCGACTCTAGCTCCGAGTCGGACGTCTCAGATACTCGAAGTGAGATGGACATCCACGACAGTGGTGTTCCTTCTGGGTCGGATCTCTACTTGGCAAAATGTTTCTTGGAAAGGAACTGGGATCATCTATGTGATTGCCAGGAAGAAGAAAGCGTCAGCTGGAGTGAACAGCCTGGGCTCGATCTCCAGGATATGGCCGACTACTGGCGGAACCTTGGGGTACCAGATTCAATTGGTCCTGCGGCACCTCACGCTGGGACAGATGAGAACGAACATATCCAATTGGATTGGTCCTCGATACTAAGTGGTGGAAACAGTCGCCCAAGCTTAACCATCCAGAGGTCTCAAAGGATCACCCCAGGTATTCAACGTACTTGGGATGTGGACAGCGTCATTTCCTGGGCTTCGTGTTTATCAATCAACCGTGGGCTTTACGTCTCGTACCATCCTCCAACTTCAAGGAATTTTGGAAGCAACATTCATGTCTTTCACCAAGGAAAGGCCTTGCATCTCATCCGTCACCTTCGACTAGGCAGCGGGCGCCAATCCCCTCAGTTTGGCGTATATGTTTTCTTTCCCGGAATTTCCCACGTCTGTCGAACGACTACGTACCTTACTAAAGATGAACGGCGGATGTGGATCAACCAACTTCTTTTGCCCGCGATTCGTTGCTGTTGCCCGCCTGATGTGATCCAACATCATCCTCGTTCCTTCAACGATGTGGAGAGTAAAGCTTACAGCCGCCAACGGGAAACCTGCGGAGGAATGGTTCCTAATAGAATGGATATGCATCATTACCTCCCCCAAGAATACCTGCAGGCAATCTGGCACCATATGAATCAAAACACTGAGCAGCCCGAGCTTGCCATGTTTTGCGGAATGTTTATTGTACTAAGCGCGAAGAACATCAAACTAGAAGCAAAGTCTCCAACATTCCAAGAATGTCGTACCAAGATCATTAATCACCTTCACCAAGTGTTAGATTGGTCAAGAGCCGATTTGTCCAACACATGGGTAGATGTTGGCCTCGAAAATACTGCAGTTTCAGAGAAGTGCACATTCTTGTTCAAAAGTCGATGCTTGGAGTCCTGGGCCCATTCGATGAAGTATAGCGCCGACAAGCCGCTGATGTCGTCGGAACATTTCAACTGGAACCTTACCGGCCAAGCAGGTAGCGCTAGAGTGGAGACTCGCCGATCGCACCCCCTGCGCAAAGGGGGCATTGCTTATGCTCAACGTTACAACGTGAATAAGGATCTCTTCTCAACAGCCTCGAAGCGGGACTGTGGGTTGTTCAGTGAACCGAACCTAGAGGGGCTGACATGCCCACCTTCATTACTCGACGCTTGGATTGTGGCTGCTCGGCAGTATCGCAACGCCGGGCTGGCGACCTCACTCAAATCTGCACCGCAACTCAAACGACTTCGCAAAGTATTTCAAGCTATGAAATCTCGAATAGGATTTGCGCTGGACAGTTCTATGGAGACGAGCTTCGGCGTTCGAGAAGAATATCGAATCTCTTGGGAACTGTTCACGACTGTGAATCCTTCGACATCACACCCTCATGGTTCACATCGCCCATTCTGGATGTTGCCAACTACTCATGTCAACGAATTCATGCGATGGGAGTTCAATCGCTGGCTCTCTGCTATCGAATATGTCCGGTCTCGAGGAAGCCGTCGTGATGCCAACTGGGAAGATCATCAAAGAAACATGATCATGGTCACCATCCTTCTTCGTTCTTTGAAAGCCAGTGTCAATTGCCATCATATTGCAAAGCGCTCACAAATGTTCAAAGGCACATATAAAAACCGACAGGGAAAGTCTCTCCGTGGTTTAGATTTCAAGAGCAGTATGCATCAGACAGGCCTCGCTTGGTTGCCTCCTGATCTTTTCAATTGGTCTGAGTTCCACCTCCGTGACGACCTCGTTGCGTCAACTACTTTCACTTTCAATGGACTCCAGGGCGTGTTCCGCAACTGGAAGGACGTGGATTCGGTAAGTCGAGAGTATTGCAAAGCTAGAGAATTGGAGGATCACCTGCGGACCAGCGAGCCGAGTGAGTATCCTGATACCCTGGACCGCATGCGGAAGATGGTTTATCGGCAATTTGCACTCCAAGTCATTCGACAAACCTGCAGCAACCTAGTGCTCGACTCGGGGCTCGAGAGTGAGCACGAAACGGCCTGGGAAGGTTACCAAGGACTGAGCTACGATATCATCCACACCTTGGCTGGCGAGCCGCCTTATCTGTCATTTGCACGGAAAGGACCGCACAAGCTGGGAAGAACTTATCATGACAGGGTGCAAGGACTTTTCGACTGGGACGATGGTATCGCCCGTACACTCTGGGATCACTGCTATTATCGACAGCTGGCTCGGAAGTTTTACGCGTCTATCGCGACCCACCTTGGCCCAGGTGATGCGGAAAGCCGGAGAGGTTCTTGGGAAGACACGCTCTGCCGCACTTTTGGATCATTCCACATTATAATAAACACAGCTTGTTCACCACCCTACCAAAAGTCCCAGGCCAGCTCACTACCATTCGCCCGTTTATCTCCGGTCTACATCAATGGAGGATATGGGAGGATGACATGGAGCTTTGCAGGGAGGACCGTTGGTTACTTGGTGGAAATTTCCACATGTCAGGCCTTCCCGTCAGTCTCCTGCCGGAAAATGAGGTCGAGACTGAGACTGAGACTGATGCTGCCGAAATGAGGCTGCAGACCTTCTCAATCGACTTTGGATGTCCTTTCCCCTTCACCGAGATCCCACGAACTATCGAAGAAGGGCTCGACTTTACTCGACGACTATATGCTTCTGGTGATCAGAAAATCTTGGCACATTACGAAACTGCTCGCGACTGTCTCGAGCAGGCCCTAGGGGACCCTTTATGTGATCTCCTGCTGATGATAGTGCTGACATTTGCGTCATCCACCGTCACGCCGACACTGCCACAGAACAAAACCAGTTTTGAGCCCGGGCCTCCCAAGCATAGAGGGCTTTTAGCTGTGACACTCATGACTCGAATGCTTTGGTTCCTCTACCCGCAATGGTTCCCTTGGGAATGGGATGGTGGTATGATTCTCCGAGTCCCTGAAATGATGAAGAAGATGGGTAAGGACGTACTTCAGACCGATCTGATGATTTGATGCTGACAGATCTCTCAGAACATAGAGGAATAAACAATCGTATCCTCTGCAAACTTGGTTGGGTTGTTCGCTGTACAACGTATCGGGAAAACCCACGGAATTGTGAACTGGATCTGTGTCCAGAGGAGGAGGTCCTGGAGTTACGAACGGAGTTACTGTCATTGATTAATAATCCTCCTGCATTCATTGCTCTTATATTTGATACTCAAGATGACTTGTGGGTCGAACGTTGCCTAGGGATTATCGCGACACACATAACATAGTGCGAAGCATGTCCAAGGCTATCTTTTTGATCTGGCCGGTCGCGCTTTACGCATTGCCACCGATGCTAGTCGAGAAGCTTTAGTTCATTCCGGTGCACGCAATACAAAGGGATCCCGCTAGGTCGAATAAAGCGCACTCCTCGACGACTCCACGCAAATCAAAACCGCTCTTACAAAGACTCGCCCACCTCCAGACCTGGGGGCAGGTGTCCGTGCACCCTCCTCACCCCCAGGGGCGATCAATAGGGGGACGGGGACCCGTCCCCAGTGTTGCTAATAATATGACAATAAAACAATATATTGCAATACATACAATACAATATGCGTTTTCTGATATTGTACCAATATAATACGCAGGTTGTGATATTGTGACAATACAATATAAGGTTATCCATATTGGCAATATATCGTCTGTATTGGCTGGCGGATCTTCGGGCAAAATGCACTTGTTTTGTTGACAATTAACGTCGACATGTGGGGACGCGTGCGAAGAAAACGCGTAACTGGTTTATTGTTTTACGTCAGGGGCAAGAAAACGCGTAGTGAAAGTATAAATTCATGGTCTACAGGGTAGGGTATCGTTCACGGGCAGCCCCTCGAGACCCTCTTCTGTCACTCTACAGAGGACTACTGACAACCTCCATGCCTCAACAACGCCTGCCTTTTGTTCAAACGTCGCAACGAAGAGGGTCGTCAATATCAGACGACTTTTCGGAGCTCTCCAGTCAGCAATTACATGACCCAGACGAGAGCCAAACCTCCAATTGCCAATCGTCGCGAACTCGCACAGTCTCTAGAACCTCCTTGGCCAAGCCAAGAACATCATGGGTCTTCTCCCATATGCCAGACGAGGAGATAGAGACAAGATACTACAATCAACGGACCGGAAAAGAAGAGTGGCGCTGTAGGCATTGTGACAAAACGTATTCCTGTTCTGGTGGAACTGCCGCTCCAGCCAAGCACCTTACAGATCCTCCTCCTGATGGTCATGGGCTCCCAAAAGGCGCCCCCCGAACAGCTAAAGTCATAAATATACGAACTATTCTCGAACAAGCTCGTTTTACGGCCGATGAAAACCCCCGAAAACGCCGTCGGCTCAACGATCAATCCGGAGACTCGATCGACCCAAACCAGCTCGAAGTGTTATACGTAAGGTTTATTACGGCCTGTTCTCTCCCATTTCGGCTTGTGGAATGCCCAGAGTTCCGAGCACTCTTGGCTTGCCTCAATACCGATATCGATACTTGGCTTCCAGATACACACGAAACCATCAAGAAATGGATTATGCGGCAGTATGAAGGCCAGAAGGAGAAGGTCAAGCAGCGCATACAGTCGGCAAAGTCAAGGATTCACATCAGCTGTGACCTTTGGACTTCTCCCAACTCTTCGACCGGATTATGGCACCGATGTATAACTCGGGATGGGCGAAAATGGACAAGTACTATCGCCTTACTGATGAATCGCCTGCCTACGTTGCTGCGATTGTGCTGCACCCTTCGCACAAATGGCACTACATACACGAGAACTGGAAGAAGGAGTGGGCTGAGTCGTCAAAGAAGTTGATGGAGACACTGTGGGATGAATATAAACCTGTGGAACCGCATCTTCCTCTATCTGAGGTCCCGTCGACGACTACGAACGAGTTCTTGAATTGGAGAAACAAGCATCTACAACCAGCGCTTATCACAGATGAGTATGAGCGTTATTGTAAGTCTGAACGGGTTTATGGGTTTACAAGCGCCCTTGCATGGTGGCTAGAGGAGACACAGCAAAAAAACTATCCTAACCTGAGCAAAATGGCCGTGGATATACTGTCAATTCCTGCAATGTCTGCCGAGCCTGAACGACTCTTCTCTGGGGCAAAGATAACGATTACGGACCGTCGAAATCGACTTGGGGGGGATGTAATTGAAGCATTGGAGTGCTTGAAGTCATGGTTTGGGATTCGAGATTTTCAAGGTGATGATATTTTAGCTACGGCAGGTAAATAATGAAGATCACGTGTAATATATGGGATATATTGTCACACTGCCAATATATTGGATTCTTGGCAATACAATACAATATCGGCCATGTTCATATTGGGTAATACAATATGCACCCCTTGACAATACAATAATATTGCGAGGGGTCCATATTGCCAATATACGTATTGTTTATATTATTAGCAACACTGGCCATCGTCACCTCTGCCCATTTTCTTTATCACTGTCGAGCCTAGACAGACTTACCGCCATGCCTCAACAACGCCTCCCTTTTGTAAAATGGTCACAACGAAGAGAGTCGTCAATTTCAGTCGACTTTTCGGAGTTTTCCAGCCAGCAGTTACATGGCCTAGACGAAAGCCAAACGTCCAAATCTCGACCTTGCACAGCCTCTACAACCTCCTCCACCAAGCCTAGAACATCATGGGTCTTCTCTCATATGCCAGACGAGGAGATAGAGACGAGATACTACAATCAGCGGACCGGAAAAGAAGAGTGGCGCTGCAAACATTGTGACAGAACCTATGCCTGTTCTGGGGGTACTGCGGCTCCCGCAAAACATCTTATGGACCCTCCTCCCGACGGTCACGGTCTGCCCAAAGGAGCCCCGCGAACGGCTAAAGTGACAACGATACGAACGATTCTCGAACAAGCTCGTGCTGCAGCAGAAGAATATCCCCGCAAACGCCGTTGGCTCAACGATAAATCCGGAGATTCGATCGACCCTGACCAGCTCGAAGTGTTATACGTGAGGTTTATTACGGCCGGTTCTCTCCCATTTCGGCCTGTGGAATGCCCAGAGTTCCGACTACTCTTGGCCTAGATCAATAACGATATCGATACTTGGCTTCCAGATACGCACGAGACCATCAAGAAATGGATCTTGCGGCAGTATGAAGACCAGAAGGAGAAGGTCAAGCAGCGCATACAGTCGGCAAAGTCATGAATTCACATCAGCTGCGACCTTTGGACTTCTCCTAACTCTCTGGCCATCTTGGGCGTAGTCGGCCACTATGTCACGGAAGACGGTCCGCTGGAACACCATATTTTGGCGTTGAAAGACATCGACAGTGAGCACGACGGTTCTCACCTCGCTGCGGCCATTTTGGAAGTGGTTGATGACTGGGGCTTTGCTTCGAAGCTTGGATATTTCGTGATGGACAATGCTGGCAATAACGACACAATGATGAGATCCCTTTTGCTTGGTTAGTACAACTCACTGTTTCTCCTGACTGGCGGGTCCTAAAGTGCACCGACTCCGCTGCCAGGGGCATCATCTATCGACGGCAAACATCTCCCTTGTCCCGCCCCAGACTGTCCAGACACCAACCTCTCACCTGCCAGATACATTCACTATTGATTATCGATCGATGCCGGAAATTTGAAGTTGAGTCATATATGAATCGCATTACACATTCGGTTGTGGTATATTGCCTTGTTCCCAAAACACGTCCGCCTGTCGCCCAACTGAGCCAACTCGCCTTGGGCTTCCCTGTATACCCCCTGTCAACCCCGGCGCACCCACAGACAACTTCCGTCTCTTCTCTCCTCATTTCTATCCTCATCTCTTTCTTGTCTCACATTACCCATTGCCATGGCGTCTGTTATACTGTTGTATCCATCTTCTCGTTCGCCGTCCCACACCATATCATCCATCAGAGGGCACTGCCCACGCCGCATATGGCCCCCTCACTCAACAATTATTCCCACAGCGCGCGCTGCCAACTTGGGCATCTGATCGGCGCCAAGCCACATATTATCGTACAGATCCGGTCATTTTAGTCGATTCGGATCCATCTAACCACCTATCCTGTCCGGCCCTTAAAAGCAACATCCGCGGCCACATCCTCGACCAACGCCGTCGGCAGAAATGCCCAAATAGTAACCTTCCCGGAGCAAACTTGTCAGTCACTGCCCTTTGGCCCACAAAGGGGGGGCATATAATATGCGATGTCTCCCCCAAAGAGGGTTATTATACACGCATTATCGTTAGAAAAAAAGACGCGTAATTCAATGGAGGACCAAAAAACATGGGCGAATCAGGCGCTTGTTCCCAATAGGAGTAGGTTTTCTCGTGCTTGGAGTGTGGAGTTGTCGTCATTTGCCCCGTTACTGGACAGAGCCTAGGAATCGAACGATCGCGGGACTATCGTAGTCGTCCTGACGCACCTGGCTTCTAATCAACCCTCCGATATCGACTCTGCCTGGTCGTTCCTCCCGAGACCAGGTCCGCTCCCCAGGATGCTCCGCCTGATCCTGGGGAGCTCGAATTGGGGAAAGCTGGAATAACGGTTGCGGTCGAGGTCGAATCGTTGTCGTCAATTCGCTTCGAGGGATATGATACGACGTCGGCCCAGGGTACTCTTGACGGCTCGGGGACGCAGCATACGACGGTGCTCCGGCTCCCATGCCTGGGGTTGGATTTGGTGGCAGCTGCCCAGATGGACCTGGAGGCGGCCGAGATCCGAGCGGTCCCTCGTTGAACCTCTGCCGTGCCGGATCGAACGTCGCAGAGACTGGGGCACGTTGGCCGTAGGCCGCTTGGGGGTTTTGCGGTTGCGGGTTGTACCCCTGAGCAAAGAAGGGCGAGGGCGCCTGTGGATAAAAGTGTCGTGCAGCGTGGCTCAACATCATAACCACGAAATAGATGGACCCTTCCTTTGCAAGACCCAGGCGCACTAGATATTGCCTGGCCTGTCCATCAAACGTTCGAAAGGTCAGGTACTCCTGACGCTCAAGTTGAAACCGCCCAACCTCCTCCGCGCTGAATCCAGGTCCCTGTATTATGTGGTCGAGCCTTGCCAGAATTGGGGGAAGGTAGTTCGGCTCCTTTCTTGTTTGCTCCTCGAGGAGTTGGCTTCGGATTGCCAGGACCCTTTCTCGTTCGGCCGGCACCACAATGTCGCCCAAACTTCGTCCCTGGATATTGGCACCGCCAATCGCATCCGCAAACACTGGGGACACTTTGGCAAATTCCATCTTCATGTTTAAGAACGCCACAGGCTCCGGCACCCGAGCCGCAATCGATGAGGGTACTGCATACGAATTTGCATCCGCGGCTGGGGCTCGTTCAAGGTATCTAGGCGGCATCGGCTCGCTTGCTCAATGTGTTAGCACTTAGCCTAACACTTCCGGAATAAGTCATTACCCTGATCCCATTGCACCACCACCAGATGGGTATATACTCAATGGTCGTCTTGCGGCCGCGTCCTGAGGGTGTGGAAACTGCGACGGGTCATATCGCGTGTCTCGATCGTCTCTCCGGCGCGGCCGGCCACGTTTCTTGTGTTGCATATCAACACAAGAGTAGTCTTTTCCGTTTGTGATGCATCTCGAACAAGGTCGTTGCGCTGCAATACGAATTAGCACCAATATCCAAAGACGAAGCCATCGGCAATTTCAAGTCGCGACACCAGCCATGCCCAGTTCAACAAGCACAACCATCAGCCTTCAAGCCAGGCTCTTTTTCGAGCCGAAGTCTTCCAACGCCATGTTCTCAACCATCTCTTCAACCTTAGCTGGCGAGCCAGTCGTCTATCACGTTCAGGTCGAGGTTTCAGGTCCGAAACAGGCTCCTCTTCAGGTTACACCCTTTACAAACCAGTGGCGCTGCCCCTATAGCTCAGGTGCCATCGGTACTGGTGAAACCCTGCTTTCCCAGATAAGTTGGGTTGGATTGGGGGCGCTGCCACCCTGTTGATGTACTGCAGAACTCGGGTGTTGCATGCGATGCATTGAAAGAAATCGAGGGGGTGGGAATGCAATCGGGAATACGCACCGTCACATCTATCACCCAGTCAGCAACCTGGTACAAGGGGTGTCCAAACCTACAGGAGCTCTTACCGGAGATGGGTCCGTTTGCATGGTACACAGGCCGACGCCACATGGCCCTTGGTCTTCCTCTGGGATTTGGGCGAGGTCATCTGCTGGTTCTCGGCAACCAGAGGACGGCTGGGCACAGGATATGGCCCTGGGGCGCTGGGTCCGGCTGCGGGCAGATAGCCCGGTTGCTGGGGCATTCCTGGAACTCCTGGTTGAACATACGGGCCAGGTCTGGCTAGGGTTTCTTCGGGCGGGTATAGCATTGCTTCCTGCTGTTCTTGCCGGAATAAGCTGGGTAGCGATGGGGGCGCGTTTGGCGGGCCTCGGGGATCTATTGGAGACTGCTGGTTCGGAGTTCCGCGGTAGCCATCTTGGGAATTCCCAGTTGGATACCCACCTGGTGCTTGACCACGTTCGCCGGCCCCTTGAAATGGCTTCGTGGGAAGAGGCGGAGACCCTGACATGGGTGGAGAGGGGTATGCCCGAGACCGGGCAGAGTCATCGAACTCTACTCTCTTGGGTGCCCAGGTCAGGTCTGAGGCGATTCGCGCCAGGTCTGAGATTCCTCGGTGCTGGCCGAGCGGAACAGGCGTTGCGTCGACGGGAAGACTTCTGGGGAGCATGGAGCGAGCGCTTGTCCTGGTTTAGTTGGCCGGACGGAGAGGCACCCGTATGCTCGATCCAACAATCACTAAGTCCCCTAGGCCCAGTGCCAGATGATGATCTCGATACGGAGATGTCAACACGTCGTGTGGGCTCACTTTCGCTGTTAGCATCCGCTTCCACACAGTACGAGCAACAACCAGAGTTGAGGAGGCGCCCTTGGTGGGAAACCTGTCTGCCAAGGACACAATCGTCGAGTGATGCGTGGCTTTGTCCAGCTCAAGACCGAACAAGCTGATCAGGTCCCTGTTGTGGGAGGTTGTCGAGGCCGATCTGGGGATGGCCAGGATAGTTGCCCCGCGCGGGATTATCGGCACAAAAGCTTGCCAGACGAGAAGAATACCCAACAGTTGGGCGTCGAGACGATGTCAATAACGTCAAGCCGTGACAGCGAGACTGCGAGTTAAGAGTCGACGGCGGTGACAGACGAGGGCGAGTGCCTGTGGGACGAAATGCTGCACCGTGATACTGGGAAGCTGGATCTTGGGGCGTCCTGGTAATACAGCATGAAGCCGTGCTAGTGGGATGTCGAGAAGTGTTCGGACCACTACAGAGATGCCCAGGGGCCGTGACCTGTGAAGCGGACTCGGAGGATGTTGGACGTGATGGGAGAATTCGTCGGGCCTTTCCTGGCCGGCAAGTCGCGAGCACGAGGGACCGGTTGCGGACGAAAGCTGGATGGTGGCTCGCGGTCGGTTTTTGTGTGTATAATCGGACGCAATTGAGATGCAGCAGGGGGTGGTTCAGGGTTGGCAACAGGGCAGGTGCAATAAGACACCACGGGTGGCAATGATTGGGGCGTGGCGGAGATGAATGGGCTAGGCGAGCAGGAGAGGGAGGGGCAGTGTCTCGTCTCGTGTGGGAGTTGTCGTCTACTACAAGGACTGAGAGCGTCTCATGTGAGGCCGTCGTCTTGTTGGCAGCGAGTCGAGGCCGGGCAGGCGGCGGGAGGTTGAGGCAACTGGACAACAGGAGCAGGGTCGAGAAGATGGGATGACAGCAAGCGAGACAACCGCAGGTAGGAAAACTAGCAGCAAATGGAGAAGGAGCAGGAGCAGCAGCCAGTAGTTAACTAGACAGAGCAGGCCCCGAACGCAGGCCCAAAAGAGCGGAGGATGCAGGCTGCTGCTTCCTTGGTCAGTAGTCGGCCGGCGGTATTGAGGTACCTAGGCACTGGAAGGTGGTGGAGGTGGAGGTGGAGGAGGTTTGTGCTGGGGGCAACGGGGCGGCGTGGTCAGCGAGGACACGGAGGAGGCACGACGGGTACGAAGCCAGCTAACCAAGCAGCGAGTGTCAAGTTACCCGCAGCCCTGCAGTATCAAGGAAGAGACGACGACGATGATGAAGAAGGCACATGATGGAGAAGGGAGGGAGTGGGGGGTTGGCAGGGGGGCGTGGATGAACAAGACAGGACACGAGAAGCTCGAGACGGGGGATGGAAGATGGAGGCAGAACTAGAGGCAATGCGCAAGCTAGAGCTGGAGCATGGGCCAGGTGCCAAACCAAGAGCGTGGTGGACTGAGTTTGTGATTGAAGATGGACAGACACAAGACACAGACCAGCCACGGAGAGGTCTCGCACGGCATGGCAGCCGGCGTGCGTGGCATGGAGCAGCGCTCTCAACAAGTCAAGCCAAGTCAAGCCAGAGCTCTAGCTTGTCTTGGCTTGATAAGCCAGCCAAAAAAGCCGTCTTGCTTGATAAGATCGTCAACTTGACTTGGCTTGACTTGACTTGTCTTGTTTTGTCTTGGTTAGGCTTGTCTTGTTGAGAGCGCTGGCATGGAGCTTTAGCCTCCAGAGGGAACAAACCGTCCGAGAAGGGCTCATCTCTCAGTTCTAGATTTTGCCCAAGACAGTCAAGACAAGCAAGCAATCCAGTCAAGCCAGTCAAGCAAGCCAGTCAAGCCCAGTGAGTCGGGCTGTTTCGCATGTTGGTGCCGTCATGGCCGGGACGACCAAGATCGGCGAAAGCGTGCTGCACCAGCAGCTGGAGCTTGAGATTTGGACGACGCCTCAAACCCTGCCAACCTGCGGGACTTGGCTGAAAGAGAGGACCAACTACCTACCTAGGAAGCATTTGGTCCCAGCTAAGCCGGGGTCTCGAAAGCCCGCTGAACTGGGTAAAAGAGTATCCGTAAGGGTGTGCCCGTCGAGGTCGGGGAGCTGGCTGGAAAAATGCTAGCAACGGAAGAAAGACGGAGCTCAAGGGCTCGCAGCTTCACCTTCCCGTCCTTGGCGACATACATGCCTTAGTCCGCCTCTGCGGCAGGTACCTCGTAGTTGGGTTTAGGCTCGTTGGTTGGCGCGTGGTCGTGGCCTCAGGCTTGCTATGGCGGGTGCCCGGCCGCCAAAATCCACGCCGCCGCAATCCCTCCCTGTACCCCGGGGCTCGGGCACGACCATGGTAAGCCCGCCGGTGGGCGACTTACAGCAGGGTTGAGACATGGGATGGGTCAGTTAGTGGACCAGTAGTAAATGATGATGAGGATGGCGATGTTGATGATTGCGATGATTGTAATTGATTATTGATGCTCGATCGAGACACTGGATACGGCCATCGAAAACCATATTCTATTTCGCTCTCAGAGGGCGTTATGCTAGCTGTAGCGCATCCTCTTCAAAAGCCCACACAATTGTCCAACGCCTCTCTACACCATGCTGATACCAAGGATTCCGCTTTATGAAGGCTCTGTTGGTTGCCACCCAAAGAGGCACCGTCCGTCCCATCGCCAGCTTCCAATTGTTTGGGATATGGGTCCATCATGAACCGTTAGGAACCTCCTCCTTGCAGATGGGTGACACAACCTGGGAAACTAATGTACGATGCCGCAAAATCTGGTCCCATAGTAAGGGAGGTATAGGGGTACTACATGCCTAGTCCCTCGTCCCTCATCCCTCGTTCAGTCCCTCCGCTCGGCAGCAAACGACATGCGGCACAACATGCAGCATCGGCTTCCACCTCTTGGGGCAGCCGCTTCCCTGCAGGCAGTCAGGGCGGACAGCCCAATGGGCCTGGACCATCCTTGACATGCGCTGGCGGCGAGAAGTTGGAGTCCCAGGGCCCAGGAACCCACCCTCAGAAAGAAAGAAAACACAGATCCCTCATATCCCTCATCCCGGATGGTCATCTGACTACGTAGGGGGGTCTGGCGCCGGCTGTAGCGCTCGTGCCTGGAGGTGAAACACCGTTCCGTGACCGTCCCGTGGCGATCAACAACTCGCCGCGATGCAGCATCACATCCATCTTTTTTTTCCCCTCCTTTACGGTCCGGCCTTGTGCTTGACACAACGACGCGTGTGCGGCCTCAAGCCTGAACAATGCCGTATACACATTAAGACTCGCCCCTAGACTGCCCCTAGGCTGAACCTCGTTCGCGTTGCGAAAAACCCTCCCGCGGACACTGACGCCGCTGCGAATAGCGCCCGGCTGGGCGTCACCCTAGCGTCCCCCAGGCACTGTGGGTTGTGGGCCGTTTCCCCACCAGGCGGCGGCTGTCACTGCAAGGTGCTGTAGGAAATACGACAATGGCGGAGAAAGAAGGAGGGCTACCAGATGCAAATATCTCCGCTAGGTATGTGCCTAGCGTCAGTTCCGAATTCCATCCGGCCCGTTGATCGTTGATGTGAGGAAGGGATGCCATTTGTTCGGGGGTCCCGAGAACTGTATCTGCCATTTGTCGGCGCATTGTCGTGTCTGAGGTGGTGAGGTACTAAGGTGATGAGGTGGGTGTGGGGCCTTATCCTAAACCTCCCGTTCCTCCAGCCCAGACTCGTTCATGCTTCTTCACACCTGGATACTAATGACCAACTTAACTACCCTCATTGCGCCGCGCACATGATCCCCCGCACAGGTCTCAGAAGTGAACATTGGTGCCCCAGAACGCTGTATTTCCAGAAGGGGCAAATGTGGTCCCTAGGGAGGTGCCGCAGTACCGTCAACTAGCCCCTCTAAAACCCCATCCTCTCCGCCCGATCGGGTACTCCGTAATAAGTCAAGGGAAGACGGGCCAGATCGCATGGCTGATGCGACAGTGCCATCCCGGGACGAGGCCTCGACACATGGGTCCCAAGAATTCCCCATCCTTCCCCCCCCCCCCTTAACCTCATCTCATCGGCAGGGTCAGCCATATCCGGAGTCCACATTGTCACGATGAACCAAAGAAATTCCAGACTGTCTCATAATGGCTTCTTGGACCGTGTCTATCGAAACCTACAGTTAGCTAGCTTCAGCTCTAACCCGATGGGCTAATATCCCGAGCTGGTGGGTGGGTCGCTAGATGTCCCTTGATTCAGCTCATGGATGCTCCAGAACCTTGGGAACCTTATCAATGAGAGGTAAACCCGCGCAAATGAGCGGATGGCCATTGGATGATTGCGACCCTCGACCAGACAGATAGGATGGATTGACACGAAAGGAACCTCCTAGTGGTGCCGGGGCACAGGTCTGAATGCGCCTCGACGCCGTTTCTTGCTTATTCGGTTCTATGGCTCCAATGGACAACCAAAGGCCCTTAACTTGCAGAGCCGTTGAGCCAAGACAGTCATAGCTCCGGCCTCCCTTCCACAAGGGCCTCCCCATCCTTCTCCTCGTCTCCCTGCGCTTCCGAACTACCCCTCGACGCCACCGCCTCCTACCACCACCACACCGACGGACCCCTGTCAAGCTGCCCTCTCACCTTTGGCGTGTGCGATGTCATCCAGCTTTAATTAACGGCATCCCCATCGTGGCACATGGCCGTAGCAGTTGGTCAAACGGGCCTAGCATCATCGCTGCTCATCGCCATCCCTCGGGATCCTGGCTGTCCGTGTACATTGAGTCAGGTAGCTCCTCGACGGAGGTTGACGCTTGAATTACTGTTGGCTTCGACCCACACAAGCAGGGGGGTCAAATCGTCACAACAGGCATATCTCTCCGTAGCCTTCTACCTTACGGGTCGAGTCGGCTCATTCAAGTAAATATAAAATACAATAAAATAGTAATTAAATCTTTTAAAAATTAATATTAGGATTTTAATATTTTTCTAATGTATTCTATGTTTTTGATATGTTAATATTATTTAGTAGTAATTTCCTGGCTAATTCTTGAGTATTAATTTCCTCTCAAACATTGTACCGGTTACCTCTCGCGCTGAAAAGGCTCCCTAAAATCACCCCTGACAGGTGGGTCGAGCCTAACAATAATTCAAGAGTCAACCTCTGTAGAAGACTGATCCCCAGGGTGAAGGTTGAATTGGTACGTTTTAGATTTGCTATGTAGATCCATAGACTGGAGAGCCCTTGCATGATACGTGAGCAGATCCGCCTCCAATTGGCTCGTTGTCCAACTCTCTCGACTCTTTAGGCCACTCATGAAGCTGAACTTAGTTTGCACGGCAAGCATATGCCGATTTCGTTCGTTTTGTGGGGAGCCGTGGTGATTGGGCGCAGAGCCATCTTGCCGTGCCGAACCCCAATGGGGCAACTCGGTGATTCATTCGTATCTCGCCAAGCTGATTCGTCAAGAGCAATATGACGTTTACTAGCCTTAGCCCTGGGCCAACTGTTAGCAGTTTAGTCGGCGTGAAGAATCTACCACCACCGGGCCTCGCCTTCTCAGCCGAGGCATAATCTACGCTTTAGAGTTCACGCCACGCAGCAGTCATATCGGCATGGCATTTATCTGAAGTCCCGTAATCCATGGAAGAGCCAGTCGGGCCCTAGCCGTAAGTATCAGTAGCAACATCGCCTACTTTGTTACTTACGCAAGAACCTGCATTATCTATTATAGAAGAACAGAAGTGACGCGTCCCAGGAGGAAGGATAGGGTGGCATCAGAGACGAGGGTATGGGCACAGCTAATGCCACGGCCAAGGGGCGTGTGCTCGGCCTGGTCAGCGGGGCCTCAATCTGTGGGGATCAGACTTGGCAACCTCCCGCGCTGCAAGCCTGAGGTCGCACAGGCCATCCGATTACTGTGTAGACAGTCCCAAAGGTGCGTTCTCCCTCTGCCAAGAGATTGCCCCTGAGTGCAAATGTATACAGGGTAGCAAGCTAGCTTGAGCATTTCTTGCGTCCCGCGGAGGGCCGAGCCGGGCATCAGTGGGGCCCAGGTGGAGACAGATCCACAGGCGACATTAGTGGTGCCAAGCCATTCGACTGGGGCAATTGGGAGGCGACGTATGTTCGACGCTAGACACTCCACACTCTATATGGAGGACCATTTCAAAAGTTTTGTCCAAGGCTAAAGACGCCACATCCCTTGACCCTTGTCAGTTACCTGAGGTACATCGAGGATAAAGTCGCTTCACTGATCCATCCGCTACGCCTTTTATAACTTCAGAGGAAATAGGTATCATCGGCCAAGGGCTAGCGGTCGCTAGTGCGCTATAATTTGACTCCTTTCAGGGCTCATGGGATGAGAGAAGTACTTAGTGTACTTATCCTAGCATTGATTGGTTCACTGGATATCGTTGCTTTTTCTTAGGACAAAACTTTTGAAATGGTCCTCCGTACATCGCGGAATTTGCGCTGGGGACTGTGGACTGCGAGGCTGCTCCTTAAGAGATCGAGCTTCATGAATTCCACCAGCATCTAAACAAACAAGCTTCTTATTCTCAGGTTCAAATTTTCCTCCCAGCCCCAGAATCGCCGAACCTACGGCCAAGTCATTCGAAGTTAGGGTATGCGCATTGCAACGGCGCATCTCAGGAGGACGTGGCTGACAACCATCCAGTTTGCGAATTCGTCATTGATCTGTATCTTTGTCTTCGGTCGCCGACATACAGCTTTCTTTCCCATGCCCTATTGATCGAACGACTGTGAAAGGTTGCTTCCAATTGTCAGGAACCTTTGAATCTCACTTACACGACCACGACCACGACCACGACCAACACGCCCTGCACCACGAACTTCGCCCTCGCCAGGCTGCAATCGACAGTAGACTCTGCACGGCTGATTCTTTATGTGCATTGACTTGCCCATGATCTTACCCATCGCCAACCTCGTCTCCTTTTTACCTTTCCGTCGTCTCAGAATCGGGTATTTCTGACCACATATATATGTACTATTCTCTCAAAGGTGGGTGGCGACCCTGACTCCCTCCCATGCGAGCTCCGAACCCTTCAGCAAGCGACGACTTTATCATGGACCACAAGTACTCTTGACGCTGGCTTGCCAATTGATTTACAGGCACAGCCTCTGTTTTCTGGATTTTGAAGAGCGCGTTTCTTGCCCAGTCATTTTGCCTGTAAGCCCACCAACCTCAACTTCCGCCCCGCATCCATTGGAGCTTCCCTCTCCGGATATCCTTCTGCATGCCGGACACGTTGCTTTTGCAGGATGCTGACTCTGAGCTGGAAACAGTGCTTCATTGATACGGGAAAGGTTTTGTGTCATTCTCCGGGATTGCACCTTGCACATGCAAGGGTCACCGCGGTTGCATATCACTGTTTTGTTTTGTACAGCATGTCTTCCGCCAAGATGGGTGCCTGGGAGACCGATGACGAGTACCGTAGGGGTCCAGCGGCAACATCGCCACCAACACCGCAGGACACGCCATATCGAACCCCGTCTAGAACATCGAGAAAATCCCGACGTTCAATTACCCCACCAGGCCAGGGCACATCGCTACCTCCCATGCCCAGCGAAAAGTGCTCCAAGAGATCATCCAGAGATATCACCACAGATGAGACCATCAGCATTCTGGATCCTCGAAGATTTACACCCACACTGCATGCTAACCTGGTATCCGAGATTTTGACTCTCCGGAGAGACCAAGAAGAGAAGCTTCGGCAGATTGAGTCGCTGGAAACGGCTCTCCACATAACAAGGGAAGAGCGAGAGACGCTTCAAGAGAACTTGGTAAAAATAGGCAAGGAGAGTCGGTCTTTAAAGCGAAAACTGTCTCTCTTGGAAGGCGGGACCTCGTCTACTCTGGGCGAACTGGCCCAGGAAAGAGATGATGCTGTTGAATCGGTTTCTGATGTTAAGAAGCGACTAGAGGCGGCGCAGAAGAAGATTCGAAACCAGGATGACGATTCCCAGAGAGTGCATGATCTCTTGGCACACGAGAAGGACAATTGGGAAGAGGAGAAACGCAAGTATGAGCGCAAGATCCATGTCGCTGAGAGTCGTCTCAAGCTTATCCTGGATGAGGTTGCCGCATACCAGGCAGCTCAGGCCCAGAACGCTGGGGCAGGCCATGGCCATGAGAGCGAGATTGAAGAGAGTGGCCGGGAAAGCGATGCTACAAGTGTCAGAACGATGAGTATGACCAACAGCGTCCGCTTTTCCCTTATTCACGGCCCAGGATCTATGAAACCCAACAGTCACTCACTTGCAGACGAGCTTAACTTCGACGACGAGGACGAACAGAGTGACATCGATGGCCGTGAAAGTGCTTTATCCAACCATAACCCCTATGCCCATGCTCACAACGTCAGCCAGGAGAGTGTCCTCAACCGACCGCATCATCGCCGCAACCAGAGCTTGGAGAGTCTGAAGCGATCGGGAAGCGTGGTGCAGGACAGACTATTCATGAACCAGTCGGTCTTGGAAGCTCTTGAGGGCGAAGATGAGGAGTTTCGACCTCCTGCCCCTAAGGTCTCCTATACGGATACTGGAATCCAGTTCTTCCCGCCTCCGTCGCCTAAGCTGCCAGTCTCAAAGCGTATGACACCTGAGCCGTCTCTGTCTTGTAGCAAGTCGCCTGAGGTCGAGTGTTCGCCCTATGGAGATAGAGAAATCGAAGCGAACCAGCACCGCAAGCGTGTTCACATTACCCGACCTCTGTCGATTGAGCCTGTCTCTCTTCGGAAGCTTATGGTGTCTACTTCTTCGCAGACCATCGAGGAGCCTCCCCTGACACCTCCCAAGATCCCGGGGTCCCCCATTCGACCACCGCTACCACCGCCCCCTCCTAACGTCAAGAAGCCGTCGATGATAGCATCCTCGACGCAGACTGACACTACCTCTCCTCCTACAAGCACTTTCCAGTTTCCTCCTATGCCTCTATCCGCACCGCCTATGGAAATCCCGAGCATCAGCGTCCACCCTCCCACAAGCCGTCCCGCCACCCCACGAGAGCCTCGATTGCCTCAATACTTCAAGGACTTTGGCTGCCAAGTCAGCCTTTCTTCCCCGGTTACCACCTCTGAAGCCGAAGTTCAGACAGAGGCTATCCAGACTGATAAGCGACTCGCTCTGCTCCCGCCTCACTTGCAGCCCTCTACCATTACCTCGCGGCCATCCTCCCCCAACCCGCCATCAGCCGTTCATCCGCCGAAGAACTTCAACCCTGTTCCTAGCAACGTCCCGCCACGCAACTCGCGCAGGTTGGCGAACAGGCGGGATACGCCAGAAATGCCCGCTTCTCCTATTTCCATTGCCGATTCTGATATGACGCACGACACGTATCCCGGGAACAACGACGATGGCCCCCTTTCCTGTCAGAAGGTCTCGATGGGACACTCGCATCGTTTCAGCAGGCTCTTTGCTGAGTTTGATGGCGGCAGCTCCGATGAGGGAGATAAGTTTGGAGATGTTGATCTGAGCGACTCGGAGTACCGGACTGCCCTGTCTGCACCACCCAGACCGAAGTCCATTCCGAGTCAACCAGGCAAGCGCAACTTGAATGGGACGACTACCACTAACGGGACCATCCCAACGTCCTCTGAACAGATCACTGTACGCCAAGTGTCTCGCGGCTCATTGAAGCCATTCGCGAACGAGCTTTACAACTTCTTCTCAGGGGATAAGGACAGCTCTGGCCGGATACCTTCTTCTGCCAAGTCCGGCAGACTTTTCGAGAAGAGCCCCGCTGCGATGTCCTCGAACCGCGCGAGCGTTATTCAGAATGGTATTGCGAGTCACCAGGACCGATCTAGGAGTCCCAGCATCCCGGATGCGAAGAACCCTCCCTTCCCGATCCCGACGCGAGCCAGCTCGAGAAAGCTCCCGTTCAGCTCCAGTGCTCCCAGTGATGGGCAGAGAAGTCTGACTCGTGGAGAGACGTTCTTCTGCCGAGGAACTGGTCGCAGCCAGTATCGGGCGGGTAGCATTAGAAGGGTCCGCTCTGCGGCCGCGCTGCCTCGCAATCAACGACGTCGCAGACAGGGCAGCCGTTCTCCCCAACCTTTGTCTCCATCTACCGAGGCACCTGAAAGCCCGAAGCTCCCTCCCCTGCCAAGGAACGATACCACCCCCCTTCGCAACCGTCCCCAGGGCAGCGACCAGTTCCGTTACCTGCATCAGCTGTCGGTTAACACAGCTAACAAGGACAATACCATGAGCACCGATCCTCTATTCGTAAGCAACGGAGCTCAAAGCAGTAATGTGGTGGATGCGATTGCACAGACGATGGTAGGAGAATGGATGTTTAAGTATGTTCGCAGAAGAAAGTCATTCGGAGTGCCCGAGAGCAACATCAAGGATGAGAACAGCAATGACCGCCACAAGAGATGGGTCTGGCTCGCACCGTATGAAAAGGCCATCCTATGGAGCAGCAAGCAGCCATCCTCCGGCAGCGCCCTGATGGGCAAGACTGGCAGAAAACGTAAGTAGCTCGCCTTCACCCACCAGGTACTGGAACCACTAACGGAATCAGTCACGATTCGATCCGTGCTTGATGTTAAGGACGACAACGCTTGCCCTAAGGGCTCGGCACCACTGTTCAACCGGTCGATCTTGATCTTTACTCCGCAGAGAGCCTTGAAGTTTACAGCAACGTCGGCAGCACGGCATTACATCTGGCTGACGGCCTTGTCGTTCCTGGCGCACCCCTCGCAGGCAGTCTCTAAAATCATCTCTGATCCACCGCTGCGAGAACAGCCAGCGCTGTTGCCCGAGTTTAAGCTACCTCGGACAAGGCTGAAGCGACCTGGCATTAGGGACTCGATCTGCCTGGCCAAGGGGCGGACACACGTACCCAAAGCCGCCACTCCAAGCGCACCGAGCATACCGAGTGCGCTGTCGTCGCAGATGGGTGATGTGATTCCTTTCCCTATGGTAGACTCTCTGGGAGACATTTCGAGCAACCACTCACGAGATGGTTCTGCCGACGCTATAGAGCCTCCTTTCATCTCCCGTTTCCACGAGCGAAACAACCAGCCTATGGCATGTAGCCCAAAGCGAAGCAACACGGGAGGTCATATTCCCCCTCCCCTTTCTTTCCGTGGTTTCTCTGGACCCGCTAGAGGTGTCCATCATGCTTCCACCAATAGCACAGCGGGAGCCAGCATCGGCACTACTGGGTCTTCCGACATCTACCAGTCTCAGGCGTCGAGCACCGGCACGTGCCCTATGAGCCAGGCGATTTCTCAGAGGACGTCAGAGGTTTCCTCAAGGCCTAGCAACTTCTTCGATGCTATCGGGACGGTGCGGATGGAGGCTTTCATTAGCCCCCTCGCACCCACAGGTTTTGGCGACTTCCCCAATGAACAGAACGGGTTCCGACACGAGGTACGGAGACGGAGCAAAGAGCTCCGAAGGAGACACAGTCGGAGCCGGCACCAGGACAGCTACAACTCTCGAGGCGCCCGTGGCACCGACGACTACTACCATGAGAGCCGAACCGCAGGCGAGGAAGACTTCTTCCGAGGCGAACCATTCAAGGGGTTCTAGCCTCTGAGCCACACCACACACGATTGTTCATTTCTTTGAATCTTTTTGATAAGTTGGAGCAAGGAAAACTATATACTCTTTTTTCGGTAGATTATTTTGGGACTGGTTTTTGTCTTGGCCTTCGGGTTGGCCTAGCTGAAAATCTTCTGATGGGCGCGGTGTTTGGGCTTTTTTTTCTTCTATTTATCAGAAAGGAGAAGAAAGACAGGAAGAGCATTCTAGATATGCGAGACCTATGGTGGAGGAAGCTGTCATAGGCGACGACAACGAGGTGTTGGTGGTGGAAGATGTTACAACCGACAGGGACCCGCAATAGTCCCAGCCAATCATGTAAGAGATTTTCCGGTGATCCGCCGGATCCGGTGATCTGCCGGACTTACACCCACCTCCATTCCTGACATCATTAAGAATAACTTCACAACCACTCGCAATGTTTTCCGGAGAGAAGGAAGCCTCAAATGCGTTCCAAAATAAAGTCCAGAACTCGCGTTTCGATAGACCAATAAGCCCTTGTGTTTTTGCCGTCCACTGGATAAGCTGATTTGTGTAAGCGGTTGAGAGGGAGCTGAATAGCGACACGTCCAAGGGCTGCAACCGGTGCGTGGAATTGGGGGGAAACACCGCAACGATAATCCGGTGTTGGTCACACCACTCCAAAAAGTCCATATTAACATGGCTGGAGTGCCCATCAGTAATGAGAAGGCGATAATCACGACCGTTTCGAGCTTCCGCCTTAGTAAAGCGGTCGAAAACACGGACGAGCCACTCTTTCCCAAGCTCGTGATTTGTCCATCCCGTCTCTGACGTTGTGAAGAAGGCTGATTGATGCTCTGGGTCAAACTCCGTGAGCCAGGAATCTTGGACCTGCCCTGGCTTGCCTTGGTAGATAAGGAATGGAGGCAGCGATGTCATGTCTTGGCAGACGCACGCCAGAAAGGTAATCCAGGATCGATTGCCACCTTGTGCTGCGCCGAGCAGTTTGCCTTGCTTTTTGACACTAAGGGCAAATACTCTCTTCGTTCGATTGATTATTCCCAAGAGAAATCCTTTCTCATCCGCATTATACGCGTTGCAAGGTAAGATGTCGTATTTCTCGATTTTCGTGCGGATCTTCCATCGTCAGCAGCGAAATGGACGATTTGCACACCAACTTACAAGCTCAAAGTAAGCTTTATATCTAGATGCATTATCAGCTCTCTTTCGTGCAATGTCTAATCCATCGAACCAGGTGCAGCCGAGCTCATCACGATTGCGTTGAACGAAGCTGTACGGCCAGTTCTTTCCGACCTCAGTTTTCGCGATATCCTGAGCGAAGTTCTTTATCATAGGTAGGGTAGGTGGAATGCCACGTGACGAAAGCTTATGGATATAGGGAATGAGATCCCGTTCTTGTTGCTTTGACAGCCGTGATTTAAAATACTACGTCACCCCATGCACATTGGAGCGGCGATGGGGTGCATGGGGTAGCCTCAGCCGAAGGCTGTGTGTCCGCGGGCCGGGAAGCTATTACTACTACTGCATTATCTACGTACTGATCCATTGCCATGGCAATTCTTGGTATTATGTGACATGTACGGATTCCGTGTGAGCACCTGTCGTTTCCTAAGCTCCTGATCCCTCATCTTCATCTTCATGCCATCCGGGGGAGACCCGTAGACCAGGTGATTACGATCAAATGGTGCATCCAACATCAGACCCTCGAGCGTTTTCACGCGAGAGACAGCCACGTAGCTTAAACCAGTCTGAAAGTCCCGGCAGGACAGATCGGTAACTATCATGTCTTCGGTGATGCTTTGTGACTTGTGCACGGTAATTGCGTAGCATACGATCAGGGGAAACTGCGTGCGAGCGCAGAGAGTGGCTCCGATGAGGAAGTCCCTCTCCACTGGGAGAATCGGCACAATCTTCCTGCCATCAGCGGTGGTCAGGAATACCGGTCCGCTGTATTTGTCAAACTCCATCATGATAACACAGGGAGGGTCTTGGATGGGGTCGGCCCCAGGTGCCCAGCCGATATCGTAAACTGTGCCGCGAGCGCCGTTGCAGAGGCCAACAGGCTGCCAAAGGTTGGACGTCAGCATCAGACGGGAGCCAATGCATATGGGGATCTGCTTCGCAAGGTTGCCCGGCTTGTCATCAGGCGCAGCAGCCGCGCCGGGGCCGACGTTCTTAGCCATGACCTGGATGACTGGCCGGCTGAGGCGGTCGAGGTGATAGTGGTTATATTCGTTCACCCTATCTTTAGTAGCGTATACTCGTAAAGCATTGACAAACCTTACGACCTCTTGATCGTCTAGTTTTGCCTGTACGCGGCTGGAAAGGAGCTTCCAGGCAGTGTGTCCAACAACCAAGGTAAGGTAAGGATTTTATTTCGCCCGGGGGGACACACCCCAGAGGGCCTTTGCGCTAAGCTATTTTCGTTTCGTACAGTTCTTCCATAATCACCCGAAGCCCCAAAATTTCACTTTTACTAACTGGTCCAATCTGGTGTATATGCCGTGACAGGCCTGCTTGAAGGCCAATTTCCCCAAGTGTTCAGCATCCTATCCTCAGCAGCTGAAGCCCGGTCTGTCAAAATGAGACTGTATGATGTTAGTAGGATTCAATCTGAATAGTTAGTGTGCCTGAGGCTTCTGGTCCATGTCAAGCCTCCCCGTTGCAATGGCAAATTTGATCGTCGCCCGTACTGCCCGCATGTCTGGTGCCCATTTGTCATCGTCAGACGCTGCCTTTCCTCCCAAGAAGAACGAGAGGTTTCCCATCTTTGCTTGTGGGCATTTCAGCATGCCTTCCCGTTGCTTTGTCCACTTTGTGCATCTGAATAGAAAATGTTTAACTGTCTCGGATGCTTGACCACATTCGCACATATCCGATTCTACTGCGCCGATGTTGTGCAGAAAGCTGTTTAGTCTTGCCATTCCGGTGCGGAGCTGGATCAGCACATCTGCTTCTTTCCTCTTCAGCAGGTCATATATAGTACGGGTATGCTTGCCAGGGAGTGCCATGTCTATCGTCGTCGAGTATTTCCCAGCTCTTCCTGGCGGCATTCTTGTTTGCTGCTGCTTGGTTATGACTAGTCTTATCCTCGTGGATCTTGCTTGATACAGTGGTATATCTGGTCTGCAGTCTCTTTCAGTGGCCCGCCGGGCTGCTGCTTTGGCTTTTGGTCCTAGTGCGAAGTCTTCTTCGCCTGCTGGAACCCACATCATCTGGAGAGAGTTGCCCTCGTCTTCAAGGCGCCCGACATGGTCGTAGATTTGCCGAATGGCCTGTTGGCCGGATTGTTGACGCGGCCGCCGTATGGCTTCTAGTGCGGAACGGTTGCTCGTCACGACGGTTATAGTCCGTCGACGCAGTCCGAGTGGCATGCATCTCAGCGCCATCTCTATAGCTCCCAGCTCGGCTATGTATAGGTTCAGCTCCTCCGTCGACCCAAGAGTGATGGAGTAGCTGGCCACTAGTTCGTCGGCATTGTTGAGGGCCGTATCTCGTACGACACCTCCCATGCCTACCATGCCCTCTCTCTGCGAGGAGCAGGTGGCAATGACTATGCCATCCACCCTCTTTGCTTCTTCCACCGCTCTCTCCCGGTCACGGTCGCACGACACCGGGATACGGTCTCTCCATGGCGGTAACGCGTACTCCCGAATGATCTCTATTCGTTCAGTGGCTGTTTCCCCTTGTACTTGAGCAATCCTCTGCATCGGCGACACGAATCGGCGACACACTTTCATCACCTTCAGTGTCGCCAACGGGTGTGTCCTGGGAAGGGTCCGGAGGTTGATCCAGAACCTTGTTGCTGCTTGCGCATGCCGTTCTTGCACCGGTTGGATGCTAGCTTCGGCCTCTGCCACCGCCGTTGCGACGGTCCGGAAAGCTCCCGTGATCGCCTGTGCTCCGATCATCTGTGCCTTGTCCAGCCAAGCAGCTTCTCTAATGCCACATGAGTGCGCCCACACGCTGGACGCATAGTCCATGGTGGGAGCTACTGTTGCTACGAACAGTTGTCTCGCCGTCCGCGGTGACAGCATCTTCAGTCTTCTCAGACACATAGCAGCCGAGAGCCCCTTTGCAGCGGCTCTAGCTATGTGTTCCTTGTACCGCAGTTTCGCGTCCACGACCACTCCCAGGATCTTGGCGCTCGCCTTGGGCTTGACTACTTTTCCTTTGATCATGAACGGTTTGTCGCTGGTACGCGCGGCGTTTCGAGTGAAATGCACGATGGCCGTTTTGTCTCCGTTGAACGTCGCACCGCTCCGTCTTTCCCAGCCCAGTGCTTCGTCTATAATTGATTGGATGCCGGCTCGATTCTCCTCCGCTGTTGATCCCACCACCCAGGCTGAGTAGTCGTCCACGAATGCCATCGAACCACCTTTTGCGTTGATTCTTCTCTGCACCAAATCTGCATTGAAGAACAGGAACAACACCGGCGACAGCGGTGATCCTTGCGGGAGACCTGCCTGTGGCAGCTCCCGTAGCTGCGACGTGTGTCCATTTACCACCACGGTGGCCATTCGTCCAGAGCAGAAGGCGTCAATCCATCTCACCAGTCCATCAGGTATGCCTCTCGCCTTCAGCCTCTCCAGGAGTCGTTCTTTGAACACTCCGTTGTAAGCGCCTTTGACGTCGAAACTGATCAGACTGAGCACCCTGCCGGCCCTCCATGCCTTATAGATCTGCTCCTGCAGCAGAACCAGTGCTTGTTCGGCTGACCTTCGCTTCCTTGCCCCGAAGTGGTTTGCGGGCAGCAATCCATAGCTTTCCACTACATAGGATATCCGCTCTGCAACGACTGCCTCGAGTATCTTGCCCAGTGTCGACAGCAGCGATATCGGTCTCCATGCTTTGGCCACTGTGTAGTCTCCCTTGTCTGCTTTCTTTAGCGGGATGATCTTCGCACTCCTCCACTGGTGGGGTACCGCACCATCCTTGAGGGATGTGTCGAAGAGGTGCAAGACTCGGTATCTAACCACTGGCCAAAGCTGTTTCCACACCATTGCTGGCAGACCATCCTCTCCAGGCGCTTTCCAAGGTTTCGCTGCTAGCACTTTTTGTTCAACTTCCTCCATGGTGAGGTCTGGCATGTGCACTTCCGTCCGTTGCGGTCGGTCGCCTTCATCTTCAATCCTGGCCGGCAACGGCGGGAAGAACGTGCTGAGCAGCTCCTCTGCCTGCTCCACCCTATCTACCGTGGTGGAGCCGTCTTGTCTCTTCAAAGGGGGCACTCTGTCGTCCATAGCGCATATTCCGGGTTTCAAGTACGTAGCCGCCTTCCATATGTTGACATCTTCTGCCAGGAATTCGTCCCAGTGCAGTTTCTTCTGTTTCCGAATGGCATCATGGTACTCCTTGGATGCTTCCTTGGCCCGTCCTTCCAGGTCGGGCCTCACCTGGCCTGC